ACTTTATAATATATTCCTTATATTATTAAACTATTATCTTAATTTAAATATTTTTTTAAATATTATAATTTTTTATTACTAATTTGCCATATTTAAATCTTTTAATTTAAAAACTAATCTTAATTTTATTTAAATATAATATAAATTATTATTTATAACTTTTTTTTTAAATTAACCTTTTATTAAATTTAATTTTTTTATTAACTTACTTTTTTCATCTTAAATTATATCAATTAAATAATTACAAATAAAAAATTTATTATTTCATTAATTTAATTAATTTAATATATTTTATAAAATAACGTTTAATTTTTTTTATATTTTATTAATATATATTAATTTTTTTTTAAATATTTAAAATAATTATAATTTTTTTTTAAATTTATAAAATAATTTTTTATTAAATTAAATATTTTTTATTAAAATGATTTTTTATTAATAAAAGATTTATATACAATATATATTAATAACTTTATAATTAATTAAATACTTTATATATACTTTTAATTAAACTTTTTTACTTTATTTATCTTTTATATTAATTATATTTTAATTTAATAAATATATTTTATAACTATAAATATAAATATAACTTTAATATAATTTTAAATTATTTATAAAAATTTTTATTATCTTTAAATTATACCATTTAAAATATTAACAAAATTAATTTTTTAATATTTTTAATAATAACTTATAACCGTTTTTTTAATTAAAACTTTAATTTATTAAATAAACTATTACTTCCATACATTTTAACTATAATTCTTTTAATAAATTAATATTTAATTACATTTTAATAAATTTAATTTAAAATTTTTAACTTAATTTTTTAATTTTACCTATTAATTCTTTTATTATAAATAGTGATAATTTTAAATTTAATCTTTTTTTAAATATTTATTAATTATATTAAATCATTTCTTATATACCAAATATTAAAATATTATTATTATACTTTAATTTACATATTTTTAACTTAAATTAACAATTTATCCAATTATTTATTCAATTAACTTTTAATATAACACTATTTTATATTTTATTAAAAAATATATAAATTATAATAAATCTTAAATATTCATTTAATATAACTAACATCCATAATATTTTATTATATTTTATAAAAAAATCAAATAAATCCTAAAATATTTTTTAAAATAATTATAAAAAATAACATTTTAATTTCTTTTTAAAAATAATATATTTACTTTAAATTTTAACATAAACTTCGCATTTAATTATAAACTTTCCTTTAATCTTTATTTTTTTAACATTATATATTAAAATATTTAAAATATTTAATCTTAAATAACTAAATTTAAAATATTATAAATCTTTAATATTTTTTTTTTTTAATAAAAAGATAAATAACTTTTTTATTATAATTAATATAAAATAAACTATAAAATTAACTATATTAATATATAATTAAAATATAATTAAAATATAAATAAATAATAAATAAATTTTAAATAATTTATATTTAAAAAATAAAAAGTTAAATTATTTAATTAATTATTTAATAACTTTATTATTAATTTATAATCCATACTTTAAAATATAAATTTTGCTATAATATCACATTTTTATCTTTTCTTTAAAAATAATTTCTAACATAATATTAATATAAAATCTCTTTATAATAATTACATTAATTAATATTAAATCCTTAATATTAAATTTATTTAATTTATTAAATATACCTTTTATCACTTTAATGTTTTAACTAATAATAAATAAAATTAATAACTTAACTTTTACCACTTTTTTACCTTTAATTTTTATTTATATATTAAATTTTAATAAAACCTTATTATTAACTAAATAAAACTTATTATAAATATTTAAAATAATATTATTAATTAATAAATAATAATTAAATTAAATTAATATAATATATACCTTATAAATAAATTAATATTAAATCCTTATATCGTTAATTATAATTATAATTATTAAATTACCAAAATAATTTCCTTAATTATTTAACTAACCGTTTAATTTATTATTATTACTTAATTAATATCTTTTACCATTAAATTTATATTTTAATTTAATACGTTAACCTTTTAACTTAATCTTAACTTAAAATACTTTTTATTTAATAAACTAATAATACTTTTTAATTATTTTACACCTTTTTTTATTAAAAATATTAAATAATTAATAATTAAATCTTTTAATAATAACATATTAAAAAACTCCACAATTAATAAATTACTAAAAATAAATATTTATTAAATTATTATAATAAAAACAATTATTTCTTTAACCCGTTATATCTAAAATATCAACTTAATTTAAATTAAATAATATATTTACAAAATATATATTAACTTTCGCAAATAAACCTTAAAACATAAAATTATCTTTTAAAACAATTAAAAACTACAAAAAAAATTTTACTAATAACTTTAAAATCTCTTTAATTTACTTTATAACCATAAATTCCTTAATTTAATAAATAACTTAATTTATAACCTAATAAACTTTAATAACTTTTAAAAAATCCAAAATTATAATATTTTCTTTAATTTTTAAAATCTTATAAATATAATTATTTTTATATAATATTTACTATTTAAAAAACCATTTTATAAATTTTATTTTATTAATATAAATTTATTAAAAATACCTGCAATAATTTTCTTTTAATTTTATAATAATTAATAAATTAATAAATTTAAAATATAATTTAATTTTATAAAAAATATTAACTACCAATATTAAATTATTATTAATATACTTAAATATAATAAATAATAAAATTTTTTTTTAACTATCTTTTAAATATATTTAAATATTTAACTTATAACCAAAATATTAATTATTTTTTTTAATTAAATAATTATATAATACTTTTAAACTTTATTAAATAATTTATTAAATTTATTATTAATCAATATAATAATATTATTATTTAAAATATTTTACATAAAAATACCATTACCTTATTTAATAATTATAATTATTTTATAAATAAAAATTTTTTTATTTTTAATAAATTTTAAAATAAAAATTTTAATTTTAACTATAATAATATACTTAATAATATTATATTTATTTAAATTTATTTAATTTTAAAAATTAAATTAAATAATATTCCACTTTATTTTTAAAATTTAATAAAAATAATTATAATAATTATTTAAATAAATTATTAAAACTAAAAAAATAATTTTAAATAAATTTTTATTATATATATTTATTATTATTTTAAAAATTATAATTTTAAAAATAATTATATAAAATAAAAAAAAAAATAAATAAAATAAATAATTTACATTTATTACCAATATATCTTTATTAAAAACTTAAATATAAATTAAATTTATAATTATTAAAAATTATAATATTATTACAAATAATATATAATAATTATAAATAATATATAAAAATTTAAATTATTTAAAATATAATTATATATAATACAACCTTTATATAATTAATTAATTATATAATAATTATGATTAACGCCATAACTTTTTATAACCATTATAATAATTATGCCATAATTACAACTATTTACCCCGTACAACAAAAAATTAATTAAAAAAAAATTTTAATATTATTTTTTTTTTAATATTTTATAAAACTAAATTTACAAAAATAAACTAATTAATTATTAATTTTAAAATAAACTTAATTAATATAACTTTTATATAAATTTAAAATTCCTTTAATTATTTTTAAAAACATTCATTTATATACGTTAAATTAATATATTTTTAAATTAAAAAATTATTAATTTAACCTTTTTTTTAAATAACTTAAATCGTTACTTTTTTTAACAAATTTTTTTAAGATTTTTATCAGGTTTAAAAGTTTAAAAAAACCTTATATTACTTTTAAACAACATTTTTTAATTTAACAATTATTATTTATCATATTTTATCATTATTAAAAAAACATACAATTATTTTTTAAACCTTTTAAAAAAACATTAAATTAAATTATTTAATTTATCGTTTAAATTAAATAATTTACTTAATTAAAACTATTATATTAACTTAATACATTTACATTATAATATTATACATCATTTATAAAACTTAATATTATTAATTAAATTAATTTTAATTATTTTTATAATTTTTATCCATTAAACATATAAAAAATCAAAAAAATTTATAAATCTTTTCCATTTATTTATACAATTAAATTAATTAATTAAATAAATTAATAATAATAAAATTAATAATATTAATTTTAAATACATTTTATATAATTACTTTATAATTTTACAATTTATATAAAATAAAAATATAATTATTATTAAAATATATTAAACTTATATTATTAATTTAAATTAAAAATAATTTTAAAATATTAAATTAAATTAAAAAACATTTTTAATATTTACTTTAAAAATAATTTTTAAAAAAGTTTTAATTAAAAATTAATTTAATTATACGTTTATAAAATATAAAATCTTTAAATCTTTCCATAAATTCCCTTTTTAATTAAATAAAAAAAAATAACTTTTAAAAATATAAAATTTAATATAAAAAAATACTTTAATTTAATCTTTTTTCCAATAAATAATAATAATAATAAAAAAATAATTAAAATAAAAAAAAAATTATTAATAAAAAAAAATAATAAAAATTTTTTTTTAAATTTTATTAAACTTTAATTTAAAATTTTAATATAAAATAAAATAAATAATAATTTAAAATATATATACCATTTTAAAATATTAAATTTTTTTAAAATAATAAAAAATTATTTATAATAAAAATTATAAAAAACTTAAAATATAATTAAAATTATTAATAATTTTTTAAAATTTTAAAATCTTTAATTTTTTTTTTTTTCCAAAAAAAGATTTTAACTTATTTATAAATAATTTAAAATATATATTTTTTAATTTAATTAAATCTTTATTAATATATTAATTCCGTTTATATATAATTACATAATTTTATAATATTTTTTATTTAATAAATTTTAAAATAATTATTTTATATTTTTTATTAATTATTTTTTTTAACTAACAATCTTTTAACATTACTATCCGTATAACAATATATAATGACTTTAAAGCGCAAAAAAGCAATAGGTATGTAGTTAACGTTTATACTTGTAGTTAATTAACCTGGCATACCTACACGTGTAATACATAACTAATATATATTTTAAGCTCGCATAATATTATCCCTGGTCTGACAATACATGAAACAAATAGGCATACAGATCACCAAACCGGCAAAGTTTCCCACACCCAATCTTCCGATAGGCTCACACAACCCCCGTCCAAGTAGCCCAAGGAAAATAAATGGCGGGATCGTTCCAGAACGATTCTCTAAACCCTGCTTAATTGATTCGCATTTCCATTCTATTTCGGGTAGTCCTTCAAATGATAGCTCTTTAGCTTCACGAATTGGTCAAACCCAAATCTACTTAGAGTCACGCCCTTGCCTGAGTTTTTCCAACCCGTCCAGGCCAGATCCTATAGTTATCATGTTAGCATGCCACAACTTATCGGATTCGCGTAAAGAACCTACGGGACTGGGGTAGTCTGCACGGTTGACAAAGACGGTTCCCGCTTCGACTTGCTCCGCCAACTTATAGCCCTTGGCCGTATCTTTAGTCCATATGCTAGCTGTGAGGCCGAATTCGCTGTCATTCATCAATGACACAGCCTCTTTATCAGACTTGACTTTCATGATGGAAATAACGGGCCCAAACGTCTCTTCCGTCATAACTGTCATGCTATGGTTGACATCAACGAGGAGCGTGGGTTTGACAAAGTTTCCTTTCGGTGGGAGACTTGAGAATGTCGGGTTCTCCGGTGTTGCATCCTTTGCACCTTTGCTCAGAGCGTCCTTTATATGAGACTCGATAGCCTCCTTAGCCCGCTTCGAAATGACCGGTCCGATCTGGGTCTCCTTTTCTAGAGGATCACCAACCTTGTAGTCCTTCAAGACCTTTTGGGCTGCTTCGATGAAAGGGTCGTAAATCTTCTCGTCGACGTAAACACGTTCAATGGCACAACAACTTTGGCCCGAGTTAAAAATGGATCCGTCGACAATTTCAGCAGCCGCCCAGTCCAAGTCTACATCTCCTCTGACGTATGCGGGGTCTTTACCGCCAAGTTCTAGGCTAACGTTGACAATTCGATCAGAGGCGGCCTTTTGGACAGACAAGCCTCCCGCCACCGAACCGGTGAAGCAGATTGAAGATACCTTGGGATCCCGCACGACGGTCTCCATGATCAGCGGCGACCCGCAGTGGAAATACTGCAAGACACCAGCGGGTAGTCCCGCCTCCGCAAAGACCTTGGCGATCTGTTCTACAACCGTAGGGGTTTGTGGGGAAGGCTTGAGAATGACGGTATTGCCAGCAAGTAAAGCTGGTATAAGTGAGTTGACGAGGATCAGGTAAGGGTACTAAGAGGAAAGTCAGCTGGATTCTAGAATATAGGGATGCATATTTGATTGTCTCACGTTCCAGGCGAAGATGATTAGGATAGGACCAACAGGGACTTTCCGAATGAATCGCTTGAATCCCTTCTCCGGCTCGCCATCGGTATCCTTCAGTGTTTCTTCACTGATCTTGACAAGGTAGTCGGCACGTTTGATAGCCGTCGTGACTAATATAAAGTTAGCTTAAGCAGCTCTTTCTAACTATTAGTTAAAGAGGGTAATGTGATGAGCTTTACTTTCAACACCAGTGTAAGCAATTGGTCGTCCCATTTGGACGGTAAGCTCTTTAGCAAGATCATCCTTTTTCTTCTCCAGTAGTTTTAACGCTTTCTTAACTATGATCTGACGGTCCGTCAACGAGGTCTGCCGCCAACTCTGGAATTTCTCGGCGGCGATCTTAGGGATTTCTTCTAACTCGGCCACCGTGACGCCATTGCGAGTCAATATCGGCTCGTTTGTAATAGGCGAGATGGTTGTGAGCACTTCGACAGACATTGTGTCGGTATGGTACTTCGTACACTATAATAGGGGATGGACTTAATGGACTTAATAGAGAGAGATATGTAGGTTAATATAGGGTTGCTTGTGATTGTGATATAATGAAAGTTGACTTATATATCAACTCAGATTCCAATTAAACGGGAATTAAACGATGCTTAAAGATAAACGTCACTGATAGTCACTGATTAAATCAATGATAGTGGGGGATCGGCGACCCCTCAAAAGATCCCGATAAGTACCTAAAATGTTACATATTCGTATATCGTATATCGAATGCACTCTCTAACTCTATCTTATCAGAGAGCCTTATCGAGAACTCTCCATTTTATTTTTATTTTCTTTTCGATTTAGTAACCAAACATCAGCTAGTCGACCATCCAATTCTACCAATTGCCCTTCCAAAACCAGATTGTCAGGCTGTATATACTTGTCAATAAATAATTTCACTAAGTAAGATGCCTTCGGAGAAGAGGAATAAATTTCTAGACGCGGACGAGAGCGACGACGACAATAGCCAGGGCTACAACTCCGAGGCGGAAGAATTACAAAAAGGTGGTCGCATTGCAAAGCGTCGCAAATTAAGTGACGATGCTGCTAGCGACGACGACAACGACGAAGTCAGCGCGGGAGAGGAGTCCGAGCATGAAGATACCATAAAACGAGATCATTCGCAACGAGAAGCCTTAGATGCGAAAACAGACGGAGACAAGTTAAAATCCAAGCTAGACGCACTGCCAGAATTACCAGATGTTTCGCGCCCCTTGACCAAAAAGAACCTAGTAGCTACGGAAGCAGCCGTAAAGAAATCCGGCCTCGTCTACCTCTCGCGCGTACCGCCCTTCATGAAGCCCGCCAAGCTACGATCGCTACTAGAGCCGTACGGCAAGATCAACAGGATATTCCTCACGCCCGAGGACCCCCAAGAGCGCTCCCGACGGGTCCGGCAGGGCGGAAATAAAAAGCACATGTACACGGACGGCTGGGTAGAATTCGTGCGCAAGGAAGACGCCAAGAAAGCCGTCGACCTCCTGAACGCTCGGACGATAGGCGGCAAGAAGAACACCTACTACCGAGACGACATCTGGAGCCTGCTCTACCTCAAGGGCTTCAAATGGCACAACCTGACCGAGCAGATCAACTCGGAGATGGCGGAGCGGACAAGCAGGATGAGAGCGGAAATCAGCAAGTCGACCAAGGAGAACAAGGAGTTCGTGCGGAACATCGAGAGAGCCAAGATGCTGGAAGGAATGCAGACCAAAGCGGCGGCAAAGCGGAGCAGGGAAGAGAAGGACAGCTCTGCTGCAGCAAGTAAATCGGAGGATAAGAGTATGCGGAAGTTCAAGCAGGCTTCCGTGGCGACGAAGGCGGTAGACCTGGCTCCTGACGAGGCTAAACGAGTCCTGAGCAAACTTTTTTGATTCTGAAAATAATGATACCCGGCGTTTTGTATATCCCCGAGCTCGGAGTGATAGGATGCGTGTGTTGATACGTAATTTCAATTGTACCTTGATAAATCCCCATGGTAGGTAAGAGTCTCCCCGAGAAATCAGAGCTAGGTACAGACGCATAAAAACTATGTGACATCGATGACAAGCTAAATACGTGTAAATAGAGAATAGGAGGGCCGTTGTACGAGTAGCTACGACTATTATTTATCGGAATTAGGATCTCGAACACTACGAAGTTGAAGGACTCCTAACACATTCTGAGTAGGTCGAGCGTAGTAGATAGACCTAACTCGGTTTAATTTATCAACAGATTAAAAGAGCAAGAGTAAATTCGTCAGCGCAGCCCATCTCACGCGTGAGACTACCTCCTAAACCGTATAACATGCCCGTCAATCTACGACATTATCCTTATAGTTCAGATCAACCATGCGTATAGGCATAGTTCGTAAAGTTTTTATATAAATTATAGCCTACGTGTAGGTATACCTACTAGATATAGTAGGCTATCTGCCCTTTGCCTTGGGCTGCTCTTAGCAGGTCAATAATATCTTCTTCGTAGCCGGACTCCAGACGCCTGCTGCTATTCCGTTTCGTTCATCATTTCTCGGGAATATTCTTCAACGTGAAATGTTTACCTACATCCCGTTATATAACGTCAACGAGTCTATTTCATCTCCGGCATTAAGCTTCGTGTGCATGTGCGTGCAAGTAATACATATCTTAACCTCCCCTTTTAACATCTCCGGAATGAGAAGGCAAGGAGGGAATATCAGTGTACATCTCCTTTCCTCAGTACTCCTCTATGGCGCAGTTAGGGTGTAGGACATATACGACCTTCTGCGAGGGCGCAGGCCCGCCATCTGCGGCGGCGGCCTGATCGCCCTCCTCAGTTAGGCCCTCGCCGCGTACCGCCATCAGAATGTTGTCCTATTTGTTTTCCGTTAGCATCGAGTCAAGTAACGTAGCCACAAAATTCCTGTTTTTAATGATCGCGAATATTGTGAAAAAGAAAAAAAAATAGAAAAACTTACCTTGACCATCTTCTTTAGCACCATCTTCGCAACATCCTTCTCTCGGTGATAATCTTCCTCGCCCTCTAGCTCATCCTCCTTCTGCTCAAGGTACCACTCCACAAGCGCCTCGCCATCCACGCCCTCGCCAGATCCTGACGCCTCATCTTCGTTCACTCGCGACACGATGAGGTTCACCATGCTGATGTACTTTTCATACGTGATCGCCGTCTTCTTCTTTGCCGGTGCTGCGGAGCTAGGTTCTCTACTACCTTGTGCATCCGCACCCGCATTCTCGCTGTCGTCCATGGGAGAATCACCCTCCTCGTCCTGGCCCTGCGCGGCTGAAGAAGCACGCGTAGCTTGGTCCGCGGCAGCAACAAGCGTCGCCGAGTCCTCAGGCGTCTCATCCTCGTCTTCATCCATCTCAACATCGTCGTGTTCGACAGATATGATACTCTGGCGAAGGAGATTAGCCGCCTCGTCTACAAACTCGGGCGTGATCTCCTCGATACAATTCGCCTTGGCGATAGCCTCCGACAACCGAATCAGGGACTCAAGCTGACGGACAGTGATACGGTAGCTGTTCTTGCCCACGCCGCCCTGGGAATCGTCGGCACGTAGCTCCTTGTACTTCTCGACGAGACGCTCCTTAGCTTCAGGCGTGAACTCAGGCCGGAAGGTCCGCGCGAACCGAATGTACCGCTGTAGGCACTCGGTGCTGAATTCTGGCTCGATAGCGCTGTCGCGTAGTGCGTGTATGCCTACGATATGCTCTGCTAGGTGACGGTCCACTGTCTCATTACACTCGTCAAGGACAACGAAGAAGAGATCAAAACGGGACATGATAGGCGCTGACATGTTGATGTTGGCTCGCAGCGTGGTCTTACGGTTGTACCGTCCACCAACCGGATTTGCGGCGGCAAGAATGGATGTCCGCGCGTTTAGGGTGGCTTGGATACCGGCTTTGGCGATGGAGATCGTCTGCTGTTCCATAGCTTCGTGGATAGCAACTTGATCGGCTATATCCATCTTGTCGAATTCGTCAATGCAGCAAATACCGTTGTCAGCCAGCATGAGAGCACCAGCCTCGATAGTGAATTCGCCCGTCTCCTCGTCTTTGACTACCGCAGCTGTGAGACCAGCAGCCGAGGAGGCTTTGCCAGACGTGTAAACTGCACGCGGTGCAAAGGAGCAGACATACTTCAAGAATTGAGATTTCGAGGTTGATGGGTCACCGACAACGCATATGTTAATATCACCTCGAAGGGCCATGCCTTCAGCTGTAGTCTTATGGACACCAGACATTAACTGCAGGAGGAGACCCTTCTTGACGATTTCGTGACCATATACTGTAGGCGCGAGTGATTGCACAAGGCGGTGGTAGATGTGGTCACTATGGACCATCTCACGGAGCTCGTCGATCTCGCTGGGCGTCATAGAATTTAGCACAGCTGTTTGTGCCTCTTCAACTGTTTCAGCCGTGTCGGCAGAGGTTTGAGTTAAGGAGTTGATGATATCGTGAACTTGACGGGATGCAGACTGGCCAGGTGTAGATGTATCAGGGGTAACCATATTAGCTAGGAAAGCCAACCGGTAAGTCAGGTCGCGAACACCCAGAGACTTTAGGCCTGACACTCCATTACCACCAACATCGTTGCCGCGCGGCGCATTCCGGTCATCTCGCATCATCGTAGGCCTAACGCCTGGAAGTCCTAACTGACTTATATCGGGCACCACAATTAACGCACCAGTAAAGATACACTTCTCGCCTGCCTTTGCACGGTCCACCATCTCACCTCGCAGGATGACATCCATCGTCCGCGGCATACTTCCCGTAGGAATTTCAGAACTATTCTCTTGAATACGGACCTTTTGCCAATCGACAAAAGTGCTTTGTCGGATGTCGAGCTGCCATGCCAGGCGGTTTCCGCATTGGATATTAGGGCATTGTGTAGGTTCGGTATACCGGAACGTCTGCTCAACATTCGGAATGACCGAGCGGCATGTCTCGCAAGTAAAAGTTGCAAGGGATAGTTCCGGTCGGACCTCAGAGGTACGTGTGACGGTTCCAGATATAGAAAGGAGCTGACCAATGTTCTTGGCACGTAAACTACGAACTCGAGAGACAAGGGGAAGGTTGTAGAAGGCAATAGCGAATAGTTTATCCGTCTGCTGGTTTGCCGTCTTGCTGCCCTGCAGCTCGGATTGGCTTCCAGAGCCAATATTACTTGCGCCTGATGTTGTTTGGTTGCTAGAAGTAGTCGCCTGTCGATGCTCGCGGAAGTACTGGGGTTCGTACTTGGCGATCATATTGTGGAGGGCATTGGTGAGGAAAGGGAGGAATCGGTAGTATTGAGTATTGATGGCATTGGCTAGACCGCCATTTTGGTAGCTAGCAACATGATTATAGTTGACGTAAAAGGTTGATAGTTGGTATATTCGCATGCCATGGATCTGGGCGACGTAGAATTTGTCTGTAGTAACAGCACTGGACGTTGGCGCACCGGATGATACAGGGTCGTCAATAAATCTAGTCCTTCTGTTAACTATGTGCTATACACTATCAGAAAAGACAAGGCCTACTCTTCTATAAAGCTTTCAAAATGTTCTTGGACGGTAATACCAATCCTATCTTCTACTCGAGGAATGGTGGCAGGATCTCGTTGTCTTGAGCGGCCGGGAATCTGATCATCAGCAAAGCCTTCGGCCTCATCGTCACTATGGGCGGCTAGACTTTCGGAAGGAGGCCCTCGAGGTCGTGCCGAAGAACCTCTGTTAAACTGTCTCGGTCTGGGGGTTGCAGCAGCCCTGGATGGAGCATCAGACATGAGCATTCCGGCGTCACTTGGGGTCGCCATTTTGAAGGTATATATTCCGTGCCGATATTAAGAAGGCGTGTGGGTTTCGATGTTTAGAAATATCGGGATTGGTATTATCGCAATCACAAGCACACAAGCATTCACCTCGATAGAAAAATTAAGGAGTAGAGGGGCAGAAATGCAGAAATGCGGAAATGCAGAAATGGGACCCAGACGCGTCGCGCCTTATGAAATTGGGAAACGCGACTTTAGGCTCGACCAATTAAATCGTAAAACTCTAAGTGCTTGCAGATGCCAAGACGTAAAGCTATTTGCTATAGTGAGATATACATGTTACTTGAATAGTCTATGCATATATAAGTGATTAGGATCAAAGCTAGCACAGTACCGGGAGAATTGAAAAATTGAAACTTCTATCAGTTGTCGCAACTTCAAAATACAAAGATGAAATTCCAAATTTGAATTAACCTTGATTTCCGTCTACAAAATAAATGTTTATTTTACATGATATATATTTTTGATAATTCCTTCAGTAATCCCGCAAAGTATCTCGGACTGAAATCAAGTACATTGTTCAAGCGCTGGTACGGTAATTCCTCAACCCAATATTCATTCATCTCTATAATGACCTTCACTGCGCCGTGACACTGAAACCATGGCGCAAGAATTGTCATCCAACTGGAAGAAGTTACAAGGAAAGATAAAGGCCGAGTCTACCGCAACTTCTTCATCAGCGACAAAAGCTACAGTTAAGCGGAAAGCCGACGAGGGAACCCCGTTTAAATCTCAGCCAAAACGGCAGAAGCTACAGAACCCATCCAAACAGCAACGGGAGCAACGGCCATTATCAAACACATCTAATAAGTCTTCTCATAAGCCCACTTATACACCTTCATTAAAGAAACCAATGGGCGTCGCCCAATCCTCTGCTATTGCCAAAGGCACACCAGCAACTATCACGCCCTCGCTCGCTCTCTGGGCCGAAGACAATGATATATCGCCAGAGGACTTAGCTGAGGCCTACAGCCTGGGCGTCAAAAACAATGCCTCCCTTATGGCCGCCGAGCCGCCCCGTGTCAACGAGGGACTGGCGCCCGGAGTCGACGTCGGCAAGTACATAGCGCTAGACTGCGAGATGGTCGGCATAGGACCCGAGGGGCGGGAGTCAGTGTTAGCACGTGTCAGCATTGTTGATTTCCATGGACGACAGGTGTACGACTCGTTTGTGCGGCCACGCGAGCCTGTGACCGACTGGAGAACTCATATAACGGGACTGACGCCGCGCATACTATTACCTGTAGCACGCAGCTTCGACGAGGTACAAGAAGCTGTCGCAGCGCTCATGCGCGGGCGCATCATCGTCGGCCACGATATTCGGCACGACCTAGCCGTGCTACAGCTGGACCATCCCTCGGGACAGATCCGGGACACCGCACGGTTCGCCGGGTATAGGCAGTACGGGCACGGACCCAAACCAGCGCTCAGGGTCCTGGCGCGTGAGGTATTAGGAGTTGAGATTCAGACCGGTCATCACTCGAGTGTCGAGGACGCGCGAGTCGCCATGCTACTCTTTCGGAAACGAAAGTCGGATTTTGATGTCCAACACGCGGGTAAGTACGGCTTGCCCACGGAGAAGACGATAGCAAGCGAGAAGGTAGGTGTAGATGGTAGTAAAGGACAAGAAGCAAAGTCAAAGAGAGGGGGGAAGAAGAAAAAGAAGCGGCATTGACGCAGATAAAATAGGCGAAATGAAAGGAAGTATGCCCTTGAATGATCTCACAATAGCACTTCGCGGGTTTAGGACTATAGTAACCTCACCAGTAGTTGTTACTTATTTCCAGTTGCCAGCGTTACTAGGTGAACATCTCCTATTAGCACTCTATGGAGTTGTAATTGAATTCTGTATATACCTATGTATCTAAAACGCACAACCCTAATACCCTCTCTTCCAAATCCAGGTGTACGTCGCACCGTGAAATCGTGAGAAACACAATATAAACATCTCTAAAGGAAACCATCTTCTATACGTCTCTTTGATCATCATCTCTATTTTTATTAAACAGGAATATCCTCCATCAATTCCATCGCCCCCTCCCTTCCAACCGTGATGATGACGTCGCCCAAGGTCTTTGTCACGAACCCGGCTTCGCAGTAGGCGAAATAGTACTATAGAGATATTAGTAAATCCGTATCGTGTACATATTCTTATTCGCGATGGTAGATTTATATAGAGGGAATAGTAAAAATTCATACCTCCCACTTTCGTCTAAACACGTCCATCTCCCGCGTTGTCATACGCGGATGTTCCACCTCCAGCGCCGGTCGAATCTTTGACTCGAAGTTCAGCATGAAATTCTCCCTCCAGAGACGCAGCGTCTTCGCGTAGTGGCCTCCGATGTTCTCAACCCGCTCCACGATCAGCGTTCCCTTGGACTCCTTCGAGATGTGGTTAAGGAGCTGGGTGGTGGATGGGAGATAACCGCCGGGGAAGATGTGTTTGTTTATAAAACTACCGAGGCGGTCAGCGTATGGTTTTTACCATGTAGGGTTATTAGTATTGATAGAAAAGGGGCAAATAGTTATCTCACTCTTCGGACTTGGAATAGGCCTCGTGTCTCCCCTCCGGCATCGTGATGCACTGAAACATGGCGATTCCACCCTTCTTCTTCAACAGCCGATCGACACATGAAAAATATGTACTCATGTATTCCTGACCGACGTTTTCCAACATCTCTATAGAGACAATCTTGTCAAAAACCGCCGTATCGGGTAAGCTACGGTAGTCGAGTAGTTGCACGCCTATCCGGCCTGATAATCCTGCCTTGTCGATCCGCTGTTCTGCTAGTCTTTTTTGCTCCTTTGATAATGTTAGGCTCGTTACTCGGCAGCCAGTCCTTCTAACGGCCTCGATAGCGAAAGACCCCCAACCTGTACCGATCTCTAAAACATGATCAGTAGGCTTGATCCTAGCGCCGTCGATGAACCGTCTCAATTTGGTCATCTGTGCGTCTTCAAGAGTTTCTTCAGGCTCTTTATGAGATACCCGGGTCTGCCAAATAGGGCATGAATAAGTCATATCCTCTGAGAGGAAAGCCGCAAACATGTCATTACTAATATCATAGTGAGCGGTGACATTCAAAAGTGCATTCGACAGCGTATTTGTAGTCCGGGCAATACTCGATACCGCTCCGGACATCGAGGAGAATATCGTGGTGCCATTGCTTAACTGATCCCGGTTTGCAATGAAAAGCTATAAAATATTCCATATGTCAGCCGTGATATATTGGCGAGAGGTAAGCTTCAAACCTGAAAGAATGCTGTCAAATCGACACATTCAAATTCACCTAGCATATATGATTCCGCAAACCCCATATCAGCAAAGAGAAGCAATCTCATCCAGAAAGCATCATCCTTCACTCTGATTTCAACCCGGGGGATTATGTCTGCTTTCCTGACTGGATGTTCTTCATTGATGGGTTTGGGGCCCTTCGAGGAAAGCCTCTGCCCATACACCATTCTTGTTCCCGTAGGCTCGTCAACTAATAGCAGGGTGCCAATCTCGAGCCTGGAGAAGACAGAAAGCACAGCCGGCTTAGCTACTGCCAAGGCCGGTCCCCAGGTTAAACTTCCTAAAACCCCGCGGACTAAATCGGCGCTCCGGGTGAGCGGCCGGGCAATGACTGATGGAATTGATGGGGTCATGGTCATGTAGGATAGTTGCACAAACAATAAGGGGTAACAAAGACTTTTCTAGGGTATATTTGATGATTTCCCAAACGACTGAGCATATCAGATCCAACTGGTGTATAAGACTGGAAAAAGAGTGGCTGGTGCTACCTACTCGGCATTTCCAAGATTTATGACATATTAGAAGTGAAAAACATATGGAAAAGACTGAAGGCAAAGGAAAGAAAGTGAGACGAGCTAGGAAGACTCCAGGCCACCCATGTCACGTAACAAGCAATAGTGTCCGCTCGTCGCCACTATGTGGTCTAAATCGCCTATCTACGTGGACTGTTGCATTCGTCCCGTCTTTTGCTCCGCTGCTGTATGAGGTCAGAAACGAGAATATTAAAATACCATGTTTCTTTCGATAGAGGGCCGACTCGCTCAGGTTCGGACAGGGGTATGCAAGACGAGTAAAAAAACGAACTAGACGTAACCTGCTTCAGGATGCGTATCAACTATTCGGTCCCGCAAGCCTTGCTGTAACCGGAAGTAGATCATGTGTAACACCGGAATAGCAGAAACATGGAAGTTTAGCAGATCATAAGAATCGGCATTTAAGGGTCCATACCGCGATAGAATTGTCCAATGATATGTTCGTATCACGACATCTCGCGACATTACTCCAGACTAGGACTGTAAGACTAATGGTATATTGTACATTTTCCAAGTAAAGATACTAGTTGCTCACACCCGATTTTGCCGGATATATGTCTGATTGCCTTTAGGGCAGTGAAGTCGTGTGGCTAAAGGGATGGCCTCCAACAGAACTTATCTGGTCATCCTGGGCAAAGAGAATCTTTGGCTTGCGTGGCGCCAGGTGGCGGCCAGTAACGAACAGATGGTTGCGTGTAGTTACGCAGAATGTGGTCGGCAATGTACCGGTTTTCGGCGGTAGTGCTACTTGCATGGTGTTGTCCCGACGAGAATGAGTTAATTGATGTTTCGGAATCTTTATACTCCCCCCTGGCTATAATAATGAGATGGGACACCTGTCGAAACACTAGGGAGTTATCTATAACCTATACTAAATATTCACATGAAGAAATATCGAAGGCGTTTGGTAAGGAAAATAGTATTTGCTGATTGAGGAGGGTAATGAATAAAAGGGATAACTAATAAACAATAGGGATAAATGGGCAATGAATTCGATGAAGTCTTAATTAAATCCTTTTGAGGCGAAATATGAGTGGAGCTGACTCGGATAGTTTAAATACATATTGTTAATGCATATATCGGATTACAGATATCGAGGCACTTACAAACGCGAACAGGTCGGTAAACGGCGCGCTCTTTAATTGATTTATTGGTCGTTACGCGTCGTAAACCTTTATCCCCTAATCCCCATACCGCAAATAACCATTTAAACTTCTTAATAGTATTCAGCGAAAGACACCAAGATGGCGCACCCCGTTTTCACCGTCGACTCTCAGGAGAATATCCAGCAAAAGGCTCAAATCCATTTACTACCATGTCGCATACATCATGATGGTGAAGTCAACCCAGTTGAAACGTACTGGAACCCCAATGAGAGTGAAGGTATGTCGATAGCAAATACTCCTTAAGCAAACCCAACTAATTCTGATATAAAAATATAGACCAGACAAAGACGGCTTATCTCAGAGGTCGTAAGCTTCATGGCAAAGTTGTGAAGTTGCCGGAGGGTTATCATGGCTCTGTGGTTGAGAAGTCAACGCCAAAGAAGCCGGACCAAAGTCGAGAGGAAATGGTTGAGGATCTTGAAATTATAGAAGACCCAGAAGACCAGCTCGAAGTAGGTGTAATGCAAGGAAAAGCAACTTTTGATGAATTCATGGTCTGGAATCACGAGACCTTGGCCAATTCGACTGAAGATCCGTACTTGAGAGGTATGGAAGAGTGGATATCTTTTGCAGGACAGGTTTGTCGAGATATATTATCAAAAAAGCAAGAAACTAGCTAACAGTTGAGATGCAGATACATTCATATCCTTCTGGAAAAGCCTCAGATAACTAAACTGGATTATATTACAGTCCTCGGGATTCGGAGACTTATATAGTCTTGTAGGGAATCCGGCATACAGGTCACTCTTGGTTTAAGGGCATGGCGTTCAGGAGTTCACTCAGATAAAAGTCGAGACTATGAGGTAGATACAAGGAATTCTACATCTTAATAGAATCCAAATTTACAAAGTTAATATTCTGCTCTAACTATATATCAGGCAACAAAGCTCATTAATTATTTAGCAGTGATGGTGCATGTGAGTGAGTATAACAGTTCATTGCAGCTCTATCAATTGCAAGTTCTCAGTACGTACATCGTCTATACGTAAGTACCTAGGTACATACGTGTAGGTCGACGAGCTCTATGATTGGTTGACTACTTCTGCAGGTACCACAGCTTGGGGGCCTTAGTTGCCGGCTACCGATATCAACCAACCTTATCGGGGAGCTTTAGTTTCTTTGCCCCTCCAAAATATTCCAATCACTTACATCTTTCTCTTATCAACCGTACAACCATTTCATCAAAACTAAACTCGGCGCCATTAGATTTCATCATGAGTCCAAGCGCGCTCAATACTGAGGCCGCCGTGGGCCCCGAGGGACCCCGGCAGAAGAGCCGTGCCACCGCCGATACGATACGAGTGGGATGCATCGCTATGGTCGAAAAGGACGGACAAGGTCGTCGCGCCGAAATTCTAAGCATCAGAGATACCAAAAGCGGTCGCCAATTCTACTGCAACTTCGACAACTTCAACAAGCGATTAGACGAGTGGGTGCCTGTTAAGAGGATAGATTTCGATCAAGATGTCGAGTGGCCGAATCCCGACAAAGACAAATCTAAGGAAGGGAAAGGCAAGAATTCTACCGCGCCCAAGAGGAAGACGGTTGGAAATAAATCACAGAAGCGACCTGGGAAGAGGGAACAATCGGTCATGTCCGAGGCCGTCACGCCTATCCAGTGGACCGATTTCGCTGATAGTCAGTCGCAATCAAAAGCTCCGTCGACGCCGCGCGATCTCGAGCCGAAGGCCGGAGAGACACCCGCGGCCAATGGTGACGAGATGGACATAGATGAAGATGAACCAACACCCGAAGTTAAGAAAGTGAATGGTTTCAGCAGGGAAGCAGAGATAGAGAAGCTGCGGACCGGTGGCTCCATGACACAGAACCCTACCGAACTCGCTCGAATACGAAATATATCCAGAGTCCAATTCGGTCAATGGGAGCTGTTCCCCTGGTACTTCTCGCCATATCCGGAGTCGTTTACCCAAGAAGATATCATATTTATTTGCGAATTCTGTCTAAGTTACTATGGCGATAAGAAGGCCTTCTCTCGGCATCGCCATAAGTGTACTCTCCAACATCCGCCCGGAAATGAGATATACCGAGACGACTACGTATCGTTCTTTGAGATTGACGGACGGCGGCAACGGACCTGGTGCCGAAACCTATGTTTATTATCTAAGATGTTCCTCGATCACAAGACTCTCTACTACGACGTGGATCCTTTCCTCTTCTACGTCATGACGCAGAAATCTGAGAAGGGCCATCATCTCGTAGGCTATTTCTCCAAGGAGAAGGAAAGCGCTGACGGATACAACGTCGCCTGTATTCTCACTTTGCCCCAGTATCAGCGAAAGGGTTTCGGTAGATTATTAATCCAGTTTTCCTATGAGCTCTCCAAAATCGAGGGCAAGCTAGGATCCCCCGAAAAGCCGCTGTCTGATCTGGGTCTTCTCAGTTATCGCCAATATTGGTCGGAGAACATACTGGAACTTTTGCTTGAGTGTAATGAGCGGGATGAGAAGTCGAGCATTGAACAGATCTCGAATTCGCTTGCCATGACCACTCAGGACGTCGAGCACACCTTACAGGCGCTCAAGATGCAAGTGTATCATAAGGGAGAGCACAAGCTAGTCATTCCGGACTCATTGATCAAGCAGCGAGAGAAGTCCAAGCTAAAGAAGAAGCGATATATTTCGCCCGAGCGCATCCAGTGGAGACCCCCCGTGTTCACTGCTTCTTCGCGAACTTGGGGTTGGTAAGGTGTTTGATTGGGGGTGTTATTATAGCGTTGGGAAGGGAGCGTGTACACTACTGAATACCTAGATACCCAATTTGCGTTGCGGACTGCTAAGCATTCTTGCCTGCCTGCCTGTTTGTATGTGTGCTGTTTATCGTGATATTTAACTTTCTCAATATCGATCACTGCGCAAGACGGTCTGCCACCGCAGTATTCAACGAAGGGAATGGTGTATTCAAATTGAGCATATCTTAGGTTAGGTAGTTTTCAAAAGAGAAGACAGTTTAACAATGTTATCCGCCCCGCAGGTAAGAGGTAGTGTTCTCATCCAGTCCAAGGAAATCTCGCAGACGCAATCTGAATAGGTAGGGAATAGAGAATAGGGGTAGTAAATGAAAAACCACAAGGCAATCTACCCGTCCATGCTTCCCATCGCATCATCACACTCTTAGGATGCCAGCTGTGTCCCAACTTGGAATATCTCTCCCATCTCATCTCATCTCCTCTCATCTCATCTCATCCCACGTCCAAAGAACGAACCGTAGCGCAGCGAACCATCCTAATAAACATAAACACCATCATCCTCGCCCTCGAACTTGCCCTCCTCAACCGCCTTCTTCAACACCTTAACCGCGCGCGCAGCCAACTCCTCGACATCCGCAGTCTTAGTAACCGCGTCCGCATCCGCGCCACCATCGACGACTACGACGTCGTACGCGCGCTTGAAGAAAGGCACGTGCAAGTCGTCGGCGGCGAGGGCCTGCTGCGCGTTGCTCACGAAGGCGTCGTTGAAGGCCGGGCCAGCGATGATGATTGCTTTGGGGGCGCTGCTGGCGGCCTCGAGCTTGTGCTTGTCTTCGGGTTGTAGGTATACGGGGGCTTGGCCGCGGAGGACGCTGGGGAGGGCTTTGATGGCTAGGTCGGGGATTGTGGAGAGGTATACGACTGGGGGGTAGGTACTTGAGGTTAGTTATTGGGTCGTATGGGAGAGGTAGGCTGTTGGTGGAAAGGGGAGGGGACGGAACGAAGAGAGAGGGAGAGAGAGTGGTTTGCTGGGTAACTACCTAAGGTAGGTAGGTAAACCAAACTACAACAGACATACCCTCGAAATCAGGCAGTAAGGCCTCGCCAAAGGTTTTGGCTGTTGCCTCGAACTCGCCTAGGAGGATTACTGGGATAGCCGACGGGGTTTCTGCGTTGGTCGACATATTTGCTGTGTTGGTTGATTGGAAGATAGGGATATTCCAAAGCGAAATCGTTGCAAGTGAGTGTTGATGTGTGAGTCTTGACTGCTGGGGCTACCTTAGAGATCGTTTCTGCTCGACAAAAAAAAAGTATGTCGTAAGTCTCAGGGGCGAGGACCTATTTATATACCTTGCTTTGCTGCTACTCTCCAGGTCTCGGTCACGATACGACACGTCGTCACCATCTATTCTTTCTCGTCATCTAGAGCGGAAAGCCCAAGTTTGTCTATCGTGTTCGCTCCGAGTATTACCACTCGCGAGACACTTCGTTCTAGTCTTGTTCTAGTCCCCCCTCCCCCCCAACATCACATATTCGTACACTCGTAGCCTTGACCGTCTCCCCACGATGTACCCCCTAAACAAGCAGCCTTCTTCTACTCCTCCTCCCCCTCCTCCTCCCAAGCACGCGATCAAGACAAAAAGTTCCCCTGACCCTCTCGAACGAATTACGAAATAGTCCAACCCTTCCACGGTGCCACGCCAACGTTCTCGTGCCGCCTTGACGCCTAGGCCCTATATACATACGTCGACGTATCGTGCAACAAAGCATCGGGAGCCCCGTGGGGAAAAAAAAAAAACAGTAGCATCTGCCTTGCCAGGCAGACGAAGCCCTCCTCCACCAACACGTCCCACATAAGCCTCCCTGCGCAACGAAGCAAACAACCCGCAAGCGAGGCTGATGGCCCGGCCCGTCGCACGCGAGGTGGCACCGGGGCACCGCGACGTTCCGACGTGGTGGCACGTCCTCGAGTCCGACTTACGCGTCCTGCCGTCTGACAAGCTCGGCCAGCGGGACGGCAACAAACCAATCGCTTCCAGCGAAGTATTCCCTTTCCCTACTTACCTAGGTACGCACCTCACCTACAAAAAAACCAGAGGGCCATAATTCACCCGAGCCGAGCCTTCTACCACCGTACGCCGCGTCCTGTGGCATATCGTCGTAAGGCTGTGAGTCAGAGCCCTTGGTGTCATTGTGCGAGGCTTCGGGAACGACTGAGGAACAAATAAGTATAGGTAGGAGAATTATACCTGCTCGCCTAGCTTTGGAAGCTCAGGAGATCTGGGGTTTGTGAACTGGCTACGCAGAGCTGAACATCTGATATGGAAAGATGGATGGATGTATTGCTACACCTAGAAAACTGTTGGATATAATCAGTCATTCGGCAAACCTCGTGTAAGGCGACTCCGTGGCCTAAGCCTTGGCCTTGGCTATGCCTAAACCTTTATCCTTACTCGAAAGCGTGGAGGACCAATCCTACAAAAAACACAAAGACCAACATAGTCGTGCCGCAAAGTCTCGAACTACTAGTAGCCATGCAAGAGTAAGTGACGCCTCTAGACACAAGTCGCAATCAAATCAAGTTCTCTCAGTGCTTACTATCAAGTAAAGCACGCAGTTCATAAATCTATCGCATCATCATATCCCGATTCTAGTCGTCAACCCCTTAAATAAGGGGCAAATCTAGTAATAAATTACCTAACGAGGAGAGAGTGAATACTCTAATCCGATTTATGTTTTGTTTCCCATGACCGAACACCGAAACTCAAGTAGATTCACCATATTCTACCACTCGACATAAGCATCCTCGCCTACTTGACGTCCCGAACGATGGCGTTAATCGCCTTGGCAACGTACTCGACGTTCCGCGTGTTCAGGCCAGCCATACTTATACGACCATTCTTCGTCATGTAGATGTGATAATCAGAGCGGATCTTCTGAACTTGGGTTTCTGATAGGCCGGTAAAGCTGAACATGCCAATCTGATCCGTGATGTGGTTCCAGGTACCCGGGGTGTTTAGCTCTTCTATCTTCGACCGCAAAGCCTTACGCATAGAGATGATGCGGCCGGACATAGTCTTCAAGTTTTCCTCCCACTCAGAAAAGAGCTTCGGGTCATTTAGGACGATGCTGGCGATACGCGCGCCGTATAGCGGAGGATTTGAAATCTCGGATCGCTGTAGAATAGATAATTGAGATGCGATTCGAGTGATGGTAGCCTCTGCATCCGACGCGGGAGCAGTCACTACGTGGAAGCAACCGGCTCGCTCACCGTACAGACCGAAGTTCTTGGCGAAACTCTGTGCTACGACGAACTCGAATCCCTGTTCGACAAAGTATCGGACGGCCGCATTGTCGCGCAACAGGTCACCCGACGCAAAGCCCTGGTATGCGGAGTCGAAGAAGGGGAAGTGGTTCTTTAGGCGAATCACCTCCGCAATCTCCTTCCATTGCTCGAGGGTAGGGTCGACACCAGTAGGGTTGTGCGCGCAAGCGTGGAGCAAAACAACTGATCGTTCCGGAGCACCGAGTAAGGCAGATTTCATACCCTCGAAGTCAAGCCCTCGTGTCTCCTTGGAGAAATAGGGGTAGCTGGCGATAGGGAGACCAACATTGGTGAAGATTTGGTGGTGGTTTGCCCACGTAGGGTCAGAGAGATAGACCGTCTTATTTCCTTGGTAAAACTTGGCGAGGAAGAGAGCTCCCAGATGCACGGCACCGGTGCCTGAGATGGTCTGGAAAGATGCAACACGCTTCTCCTTAATCGCGGGAGAATCAGCACCACCGAGGATCAACTCGGCAGCTTTGCTAGTAAACGAGGCAAGACCAGAAATAGGGGCATATTCATGATTTAGCTCGGGATCGTCGTGGAGAATATCGTCTGCCTATTTCAAAAAGGGAGTAAGTAATCAATATTCCACACGAGTCATTAATACGAGCCGATATAGGAGCTTAGGAGATATGAGACGGAGTTTACAAAGAAAAAAGAAAAAGAAATACCTTCTTAACTACTGATAAGATCCAAGGCTTAGCGTTGTCGTCACGATAAACACCGATACTCTAGTTACTAGTTAGCAATAATCTCTCATCAAAGTGGCAGAGGGGAGGGGCGGGATGCGGTGAGACATACTAAATCTACTTTGCTGGGATCTTCATCAGCTCGGAAAGCTCTTACGAGTCCGAACAGAGGATCCTCTGGAGCTTGAGGAACGACATCAGCCGTGAAGCTGGTTGCTGATGGTGGCGACATCTGTCTGGCTAAGCTCTTGACTCTGGATACTGATTGACCGTGGTAGGATGGGTCAAAAGGCATGTTCTTGAGAAGGGAAAGAAAAAGAAATATATAAAGGTGTTTATGCAGGTGCGCAAGGTTGCAAGGCCGCAAGGTCGCAATGTAGCAGGGAAGCGCAGGACACCGGGGGAGGGGCGGTGACCTGGAGTTGCTTGGGGAAGTTTGTCACTGTGGGCTGATGGATATGAAACGCGATGGATGTTATAGGTCCGTTTGTAGGCGTTAATAGGCGTTAGTAGGTCTTTTGCATGAAGAATGGTCCAATTCGGTGCCACTCTCACGTAGGGTACCTTGGTATTGAATAATAATAGAACGAGGGAGAGGTTCTAGGCGGTCCAGCGGAGGGGGACAGCAGATATGGCGGGGTTCAAACGGGCCAAGCTAAGGACGTACGTCAGAGGTTTAGCGGCGGGGAGAACGGGAAGCAGCTAAGTACGTGTATGTACCTAATGTACTTGCATATATAGGTAGGTATACTTGATTGAGTATGTCGGATAGAAGGAACAGAGGATGGAAGTCACGATGGTTTAAAATTTTAAAGTTAGGTAGTAACTATATGCAGGTAGCAAGGAAGAGAGGTTCTAAGGAAACCAAATTGGAGCTGAAGCCGGAGCTGGACAGAAGTCGCTAGTCTTAAATGATATAACAAAGACTTTTGATTAACAGATCTACCCTCTAGTGCGTGCATCTTTATAATAGCTATCTACTAACCTACACAATTATACCTAGGTAGAATCACATTTACTACAGCTGATCCGGCTAGAAATATAAGACTAAAGTTTCAATTCGCTTTTCTTCGACCGAGGTCCCGCATCCGTAACTTGCCTGACTTACACGGGAAATTCGGTATTGTCGTCATCGGCCAAGATCACCGGACCCATCACAGGTCACAGCTAATACGGGTCGGTTCAAGTAGCCCGAATCCTTTTATGTAAGCTCGGCATGGGATCTACTCTTTAGGTACTATCTTAACCTAGACTATTAGAACCCTAGACTCTTAGAGCTTCCTTTCCTAGACTCATCCCCTAATATTGAACTTGCCATTTCTGCTTGCGCACCTACAATTGCTTTAATTACACTAATTGTACATTAGTTAGATCGTGCCAAGGGTCTTCAAGTTAATCTCAAATAGTAGCTCGACCGGGTGTTGTTGACCAGACTAACTATGGAATAACTCGGCATGTGATTTCTTCTATAGCCTTCAGCCTCTTCGCATGCTTTTTCTTCTCGTACATACTTATCACAACATTCGCATATAAGATAGGTAGACTTATATAACTAAATCCCACACTATCAAAAATGCGCACAAGCCGCAAGTTGCAAAAAATGTGTACCTGGCCGGGCTTGCTTTCCGCGTTGCTTCCCCGAGCTGTCTGTTAGCTCCCCCTATATTCTCGGTCGTCTTTTCCGAATCAGCCACCAGTTGCTCAATACCCGCCGATTGTGTCGTTAACGTGTCTATGAGTTGCGTCTGGAGCTCCGATATTTCAAGCAGTGACTTTTCTGCAGTCCTAAATTCCATGTTAACTACACCCAACCATCTCTATCACATAATCAACTTACCTGACTTGATCTAATGTGCTTTCGTAATGCTTGAGCATATCTTGGTTGTCCTTCTCGAACATTTGTATTTGTTCCGTAGTTAAATCTCCTGTCGGGGTATAGGTCGGTGCCTCGTCGGGAGGCAATGTTTGACTTAATCTCCTTTTTGATTCCGCAGGACTTCCCGCCTCTTGCGCACTCGCTAACGCGCCCAGGGAAATATCTTGTTTTCGTGACTTAGCTAGCACGCTCCTACTCTTCTCAATTTCTCTCATTAACCGTATCTCCATCATATCTTGTTGTGTCTTGACGCATTCTTGGAGTCGGTGTCGTAGAAGCCACAGTACGCTATCCCGGTGATTGCGAATGGTCTTCACTCGCTCTTCGGCTTCAACGTGTTCAGGTGATTTGCTAATCGATGCGCCACCTGCCGCCCATGCTCCAAGCGCACCTAAACCGCGAGCGAATTTCTTCTCAATTATCCTAGACTCGATTTCCGATCGTGCTTTCTCGACGTCTTCAAGGCGGCGGATGCTCGCATTGAGCTCGCGTAGCATTTTCTTCGCATTTGCATCTATCTCCTCGCGCTCTCGATCCGAAAGCGGCCTCGATTGTTTGTCTGAGTGCGCCGATCGAATCAAGGTCTTTCGCGGTTGGGCAGTTGAGAGATACGACTGTCGTATATTCCTAAGGTCGGCGTGGAGTGAAGCTATGTGCGAATTCTGAAGTCTCTGGTTAATAACAAGTTTATAGGGTACGTATGTGTTCAATCGCGAGTACTTGCTATTCTGTAGGCCTCCTTCAAAAAATCATCCAAGCTGTCCAAGCTAAAGCTTCGTTTTGCAATAGAAGCTTCATGTTGCTTAAGGAAGCCATTGAAAATGGGAGTGAGATCGGTCATCGTGAGGACTGGAGGAGGTTCAGTTTTAGCAATACGGCATGCTTATTATTGTAGCGTTGAGCATTCCCAAACTCTTTCAAATTGCGAATATTCTATCGTGGCAGAACATTGAAGCTGGCAACCTGTTCAATTCAATGTACAATGCCCGATAATGCACATAATGATGCTACATCTATTCGTCGGTACAAAAGTAGAGCTAATGCCGACGTGGCTTGTATTGTACCTATGTAATGTGGCTTTTATTATCTAGAGGTAACAATGAGGCGCAGTACAGTGCAACTTTGTTTGACCCAATGCCCTGGAACCTTATCGAGGTCGGCATGTACCTATCCAGTTGATGACCCAATTTCATATCGATATTAGGTATTCCGGTTCCAGAATTGCCCAGTCTTCAACTACCGGCCCGGCATAGCATGCGTCAAGTACCTAACCCAAGGAAAAGAATACCTATGTATGTAATGCTGAATTCACTATCGAATAAAGCTCCTGCCATTGTTAAACGTCTAACCTAACGATTAATAAATAAATACATGACGAGCAGAGTCGTATTTCCCTATAATATAATATGTATTTGACGTTATCGTCCACCATCCCGACTTCGCAATCCGCTTAAATTTACTGCCACCAGGTTTTTCGAGTTCCGTAAATCGGTTAAGACTTGCCGTCTGAATCCCCCAACGTTGAGAAAATGAAATCCGGTAATGATAGCACTGCCTATTGGAGCAACCACCTGCCTTAAAAAATTCCGGAAATAACACCAATGGGGAGTAATTGCCGTAGAAAATCGCGGGAATAGCCATTAGGAAAACTTTAGATAGCCACTTACCATGCAGCAATATCCACTTTCCGTATACTGAACCTTGTTAGGGACCGCCGAACGGAGGTTAATAAGTAGGTGATGGGTACGAGTTCGGTCTTGTAAAAGTTCTCCTATCCTATTCTCACCGCCGTTAGTTGTGTTGATGTAATCGATTCGTGATATCGTGGCAATGAATGACAGTGAGAAACCACCGACAGTAACATCAAAAGATCATCATGATGAGACACGAGATCGCCCTTCTAAAGAAGAGGAATTAACATCCCAGACGCTTCGCCAAAGTAGAGATCATACCCAATCAGGAGACACAGACGATGACGAGGACATTCCCGGTTCTGAGGATGGTGCCGAAGAAGAAGACGAACCTCGAGACCTCGAAACGCTCTCGCGAGTGTCTAGCGGTCCACCCTATAGCGTCTTTTCGCCCTCCATGATACGATGGATAGTCTTCATGAATTGTATCTCGGCTTTCATATCGCCCATTACGGCGAACATCTATTTTCCGGCCATCCCAGCACTATCGCAAGACCTCGGTGTCACCGTTGCGCAGATCAATTTGACGTTGACGACTTATATGATCTTTCAGGGTCTGGCGCCTACTTTCTTCGGCGATTTTGCCGACGTCGCCGGAAGACGGCCGGCCTTCATTATTGCTTTCACCATTTACCTTGGCGCCAACATTGGTTTGGCCCTGCAGCGGAATTACGCTGCGTTGCTTGTCCTCCGGATGCTGCAGAGTAGTGGGAGTAGCGGTACGCTCGCCCTCGTTTATGCGGTGGTTGCGGATATTGCCCCAACCTCCGAACGGGGAAAATATATGGGCATCGTCGGGGCAGGTTTAACGATAGGACCTGCCCTCGGTCCAATTATTGGCGGGTTGCTATCCCAATACCTTGGATGGTCAGCTATATTCTGGTTCTTATGCATTCTTGCCGTTGTATGGATGGTTCCCTACGTATTGGCGGTCCCGGAGACGGGGAGAAAGGTCGTAGGGAACGGATCTATTCCACCACAGGGTTGGAATATGACACTTCTTGATTATATCCGATTCAGACGCGAGGCCCGAAACCAGCCAACCAGCCAGGTGAAACAGAAGCTCCGGCTCCCCAACCCGTTCAACACTCTTGCTGTTGTAGGTAATAAGGATATGGCCATGATCTTGTTCTATAACGCTTCTCTCTATATAGGCTTCATGATCGTCACGTCCACTCTCGCTTCTCAGTTTGCCGATATTTACCACTACAACGACATCCAGTTAGGGTTGTGTTATCTGCCGATTGGTGGAGCAACCACAGTTTCGTCAATTTGCAATGGTTATATGATAGACTGGAATTTCCGACGTATAGCTAAAAAGTTAGGCGTCAGCATTGACCGGAAACGTGGAAACGATCTTAAAGGATTTCCCATCGAGAAAGCCCGTCTCCAACTGGTTTACCCGCTAGTTATTATCGGAGCTTTAGTATATATCGGCTTCGGCTGGGCGTTGCATTACGAAGTCCATGTAGCTGTTCCTCTCGTACTATCCTTCTTTATCGGGATATGTGTCACCGGACCTTTCCAGATCATCAACGTTTTGATTGTTGATCTTTACCCCGGAGCCCCGGCGACGGCGACTGCTGCGAACAACCTGTGCCGATGCTTGTCTGGTGCCGTAGCAACGGCAGTAATACAATACATAATCGACGCCTGGGGAAGAGGATGGGCTTACACGTTTATCGCCCTTATATTTACATCCTTCTCTCCTGCTCTTTGGGTTATTCAGAACTACGGGCCTAAGTGGAGAGAAGAACGCGTAGAGAGGATGAGGCAAGCCGTAGAGAAAAAGGAGATAGAAGCTAAAGAAAAGGAAAACGTTGTAGCTGGGCAGAATAATGGTATCCTTGTAGAGTCCCAACCTTCGTCCGGTTGATCCTTGTTGACATTATCCACGATAGACTATGAACTTCTATAGAAGAGCATAGGTTCAAAACTCATACGGACCATATTCGTGGTGGGATCCTAATTTAGAATAATATAAAACTTCTTCAAAATCTTCGTAAATTAATGAACGTGAGGGTCTTACGTGTCAAGAGCTTATTCATTTTTAAGGATAATTTCTTCCATCTCACCGGCATTTAGTGATTATGTTAGACAAGGTAAAGATGCAAAGAAGAAGCTGTCTGTATATGAGACCATATACTGAACTTAAAGTAGACTAAGGAAAAAGCTGTATCAAAAACTCTGAAGCCAAGGCAATTAGGGGAAGTTCAAGTTGTACAGACGTTGAAGATCGTTTATATGCATATTTATGGATATATGGATATACTAAGTGCGTCGCCTCGTTATCAAGATGTTCATCTGAATCTCCTCTAAAGGCCTGGTGTTATCCTTGTTTCCTCAAACAAACAACCTTGTGAGGCACACTTTCATCTTATTCGTAATCTTGAACAATGTAATTGATACTTCATAGTCTTGGATATGACGCGTAAATTACCGTGGAAAAGGGTCGAATTAGGCTCGACTAGCACTCCAAGATCACCAACGTCGACTCCTATTAGGCAGCAAAAAGCAAAGCGCGAGAATATTGACGATGACGATAAGCAAGCCGCAGCTTCACCTACTCCTGCTAAAAGGGTGAAGAGCTCCCACTCTGTACCTACGTCCCCAGCACCTGAACATACACCTCAACCTGAATCGTCGCCACCTTCTCTAAAACCACTACCCGAAAGGTACGTGCACTCATCATCACTCATCATAAACTCGTCTAACTTCATATTTAGCTATATGATTGAAGGTCTTGACAATGACGACTTATATCGCATGGTAGAGGATGAATTCTTATCAACGGCCCAGCAATTCACCGCTCACCTCCATGCTGCTGAGTATCACCGTCTAAAAGCTGCATCTAAGTCGCAAAATGCGGATACGATTAGGGACATCTCGAGACCAGTAGTCGGGCGGATGACCGACCTAGTCAAGCAGAAGCAAGAACGCAAGGCTCGTCTCGAAAAGCAGAAAGCAGCGACTAGAAAGGCGAGAGCTGACAGAAGTCGAAATGATGACTCTACCGCGAGTGAAAGTGACTTGTGGCGTTCCGCGTCTTTGCACGGACTCATGGAGAGCCCAAGAAAGAAAGCGGCACGCCTTGATAAGTTGACCAAGGTGGCGACTACGACTCGTGCTGCCGCTGGGTTTGGCATAGCCAAGTCCGGACAGTTATCTACCGCATCTCATCCAATTCGTAAAGATCTTACCGATAGTAGACCTATACCTAAATCGACGCCGCAGCAGGATAGTGAAACAGAAAGTGACGACGATGAAGACCTAGATGGCCCTTCTACTAAGATGCCTACAAATTCAGTTAAGAAACTCCCACCATCTACGTCTCACCCCCCAAAGCCAAGGGAAGTCCCAAGTACTACAAGTAGCAACCACCCCCTACGCCGTTCAGAGAAAATCCACCCCATCATCCAGCAACCAGAAGCCAAGGCCAAGACCACTACAGAGGCCACATCCTCATCCTCCTCCTCCGAGGCCGACAGCAGCGGTGACTTCCTAAGCCGCCTCAAGCGACGCCAAGAAGACCGCAAGCGCAACCGGGAGCAAAGAAAACAAGCAGCATCAAGCAAGGCACAGTCAACAACAGATGATATCATTCCAGGCTTTCTCTAAACTACCCAAGCTATAGGTAGGTACCTACCTAGGTACCTAATATATACAGTACAACAAAAATCACGACGACGACGACGACGACTCAAAAGGCGTCTGGAACGGCTGTTCCGCCTGCGGCGTAATACGCGCTAAATGCCTGCGCTGTCCGCTCTTCCAGTCGTGCAGCGCCGAGTGCTGCGTCACGCGGTTATCCCAGACGACGACCGTGCCCTCTTCCCATTTGACGCGCGCCTGGAAGTCGGCGCCGTAGGCTAGGTGGTCGTATAGGAATTTGAGGATCGCGTCGGATTCTTCCTTTTTGAGGCCGACGATGCTGCGGGTGACTGTTGGGTGCGGGTTGTTATTAGTGGATGCTCTGAAGTAGGTGTGGCATGGTATTAGGGGGGGGGGATGGGGACAAGAACAAGAAGGACTTACATTGGGGGTTCACGTAGAGCGCTTTCTCGCCGGTTGCCGGGTGTGTTCGGACGATGGGGTGTGCGTTGACGACGGGCTCTCGTCTTCTAATTCCGCCCCTTGCGTTCGAAGCGTTGGCTTGCTCGATTCCGGAGTGAGTAGCCTTTAAACCGTGCAGACGCTCCTGGAACAGCGGGCTCAGACGGTTATACGCCTCAGCGGCGTTTACAAACAGGGTATCGCCACCAGTCTCGGGCTTGTCGAGGATATACAGGAACGTCGTTCCGGGCGGCTGCTGCTCGTACGATACGTCCGAGTGCCAGGCCACCGAGCTAACGGTATTCTCGAAAAACTCAGCATAGCCCTTATCCCCCTCCCCGCGGTGCACGAGGTGGATTTCCGGATGACCTTCGGGTGAGCCGGAGGTCGGGTGGATGTGGTGACGGCCGAAGTAGCCGCCGAATTCGAGAGCCTTGTCGATGGGCAGGTCGGCGAAGTCCTGGTCGCGGAAGGCGACGACCTTCCTCTCGGCTACGTAGCGTGCGAGCTGGTCCTTGCCGGCATCGTTTAGAGAGCTAAGCTGGATGCCGCGGATTTCGGATCCGATGGTGGGCGTTAGGTCGACGATTTTGGCGCTCTCCGGGAGAAGGTCGGGGTATGTGGTGTCGGCGTCTTTGCCGTGCTCGTAGTGCTCAAAGGGCTTTAGGGGCTCGTACTTTTGCTCGGGGTTCCACGTTGGCAGGTAGTTAGGGTACTACAGGAGAATCAGCATCGACTTAGGCTAGAGGCTTACAATAGGTCTAGTTTACCTTTGCGGCTTTAAGTCCCGTCTTACCCTCCTCGGCCTCCTTATCGTACTTGTAGGGAGCAATCTCCTTATACGCGCCGAAGAATCGAGTCTTCTTCAGATGCTGCGGCAGAGCCGGAGTCTCGGTAACAGTGGAAGTAGCAGAGGGAGCCATAGTTGCGAATTGGATATGTATCTAACTTTGAATTTCTCTATCTATCACTACCAGGAAACTAGAGAAGATCGACCAAGTCTTAGGTATAGCTAGCTACTTGAAGTAAATATATATAATTCCCACGCTTTACCATACCTAGGTACCCATACTCTACCACACCAAGCTAGAACTGATGTGCTCGCAAGGACACTATCACGCAACCCATCTACCGTTCCAATAGGAACTCTCACATCCTCATGTATCCCACAGCGTCCCCATCCCACGGTTGCCCGCACCCTCCCTCGTCTCGACTTATCAGATTCCGATCGGAGCTTTAGACGGTTCTGTCTGGCTGGGGCAGATTCGACCCCGCGCTCGCGGAAACGCGCATGAGATGTTGCTATCGCCAAGTTCGATCACGTCATTTCGTCCGGCTGTTTTGTAATCTCCCCTCTTACTTTACCAGGCCTGCAGGCTTGCCTTGGCCAACCAAACCTCCATACGTCGAGTCGATCCCGTGACGTGACCGATACGCGACTCCCCCCCTCCCCCTCCCCCGTCCTGCGCTAATCGGACTAACGAAGACATGATAAATATTGCCAAAATCAATGTGTAACGCGATCTCGTTTCGCTTGGCAGACCTATGTTCGGTTGGTCAGTGGCACATGGAAGTGCCCATATCCTCATTCCGCGCCCAGGAATATCCGTCTAGGCGGAGGAAGACGTCATTTTAAGGGGTATTGTGACAGGGCTTACATAGTCTTGCGGCCAACTAGCCAGTCGTCGCCTAGACACTCTCGCGAGAAGTGAGCTCGGGTTCGGATCTAGATGTGTCCCCCCGCCCATCGGTACGAGTTCCGAAGTCCGTCGGAAACAGCCGGGGGTTCCCGGGGGAGTGGTAGCGGTAGCGGAATATTTCGCGTGCGGGGGATGATGATGATGAGGTCGAGCGCAAAGTCCGGGGAATTCTAACCTAGCCGAGTTCACTGTTTTTTTCATTCGTGTTTTAAGAACGAGGCCATTCCTACATCAGCTCAACTATCGTGTAATGAAATACCTTAGCGGTCTCCCTTGATGGTCTAGAAACAGGCGGTTTTCGATACGTGACTTTTTATGATACCCTTATACTATCCAAGCTCGTCTCATCACGATTTTCAAATTTACCTCCCCTTTGAGTGATTATGACATCAAGGTAATCTCTGTTCTACCTGTAATTCATACACCCATTTCAAATATTAAATTGACAATGTATAATTTTCACCCGATCTCTATCATCAGACGTCACAGGTTGATATCCAATCCAAGTAAACTAGCTCTTATTCGGAATATCATCTATTCCCCGACTACCTGATCCATAGTCGAGCATCTATAGGTAGGTAGGTACCTATCAATCTTTTCAAATCTCTCCTGGTTCGTCTAAATACTATATGGTCTCTAAATTCTTATCTTCACCCTTTTCTTTAACCTCATCTCATCCCTAACCTCTCCCTCAGATAAGTCCCAACCACCCATCATACTGCTCCAGTTCCTCCCTCCTTACCCCCTCCATCTCCCCCTTCACGCCCAACAGCTTAACCTTAACGCCCTTCTCCTGACTCCACCCCTTCAAAAACTCCCTGATCCGATCCTCCGTCTCCCCGTCGTCCCTAACCAACAAAGCCAGAGCATCGTATCCCCCCGCCCCCGGCGCCACTCCCTCGTATACACCTTCCACACGCGCCAGCGCGTCCAGCAGCGCGGTCTGGCTCTCCGGCTCGATTGGTACACCGCTTGCGGCGCTCATCTCGCGCACCAGGACGCGCACTTCCTCCACAGCCTTTCTGATCTCGTCCTTGCGATCACTGCTTAGCGCCGCGCCGAGCGCCTCGTTGCGCGCCTGCAAGTTGTCCCATAGGGTCTTGGCGCCGGCTGGGTCCGTCTGATCGCGCCATTTGAGAACTTGCTTGACCATGCCGACGGTCTGGCTGCCGCAGTCGACGTCGCACATACGGAGCGTCACGCCCGGTGGCATGCGCGCATTGTCCTTGCGAAACTCGGCGTCCCACTCGCGCGCCACGCACGCCGCTAGCGCGGGGGCGAAGCCCGGAGAGCCGATCTCGGGGACGTCGCGTAGGAGGGATGGAGAGAAACGCCGGTATACGCAGCTACCGTAGACGGCGGCCGCGACGTCGAAGCCAGAGCCTACTTTACCTTGGGCGGCGGAATGTGCGGCCTGCGCTAGGTTGTGTAGCGTGCGCTTGCCTTCTGCTGAGTCTACGTCGAAGGCAGATTTGGGAAGGTAGTGTGTCAGTAAGGTGGCGGTAAGTGCCGTGACAAGGGCCGCGGAGGATCCGAGCCCGGTCTTGTGGGCATCCTTGAGCTTGGTGGGAAACTTGGCGAAGCGGCCTGCCGCGCCTGAGTGTGACTGGTGGTGATGGTGGTGCGAATGAGATTGTGAGTAGTAGTCGTTGTCGGCCAAGATGGTTAGCTGTACAGGCTTAAAGGTGTATGATGATCCGGCATGGCCAACCGTTTGGATGTAAGTGAGAGCGTAGGCCAATGTGACCTCAACGAAGTGATTAGGGTTTATATTCGAACCGCTGTTTGGTCAACTTATAAGTATATAGTATAGCCATATGAGAATGTTTATAGTGTAATGAGGTAAATATAAGACTAGGATGGTGATACAAAGATGGGGGGTATGTAATTATATTGAATGCGATATCCCTAGCTACAACCTCGTCAAGGTAGGCACAATTGTATTGACACCCCTAGCGAACATAGAGAAGTCTTGTGAGGGAAAAACGGGAAAGAAAAAAGACAGTACTTACACTTGAAGCTGAGTTAGCTTAATGCCGCCATCTTCGTGAGTTAGGTGGTACCCGTAGCGCCACTGAGCTTCGAGGAATTGAGGGCTCTCAACGACGATCTCGCTCAGCTGAACACCCTTGCTTGTCTTGATCTCCTGAGCAATGACATTGATACGGGCACTCAACCCAAATACGAGCCCCGTGTGCTGGCGGTCGAGAACTAAGAAGCCTCCGGCCAGGAGCACCTTGCCCGGAGCGGAAATAGCCGTAGTGTTCGGCATCTGGAAAGTCTGGAAAGTCTACCCCGCGTGTTCTCCGTGTATAAATCGATTAGATAGAAGTGAACTAAACGATCGACAGGGGAACTGATCGATTGGAACCCGCTTCTTTATTATTAATAAGTTGAGCAATTCAGCTCGCGTTTTTGAATGAACGTACCGCGAGTTGAAGTTTAGGTTAGGAGATCTCCAACGTTATTAATAAGGGGGGGGCAGTTGTGCAAGTTTGAACCTTTAAAAGACGGGATGGGAATGGCCTAACCTTTTTTTATTTACTGCGGGGACGGGAGACGGGGAATTGGAACTTTTCATTTAACTCGCCTCCCTTACCCTAATATTATGTACCTGACTCTGCACGTGAAGAAGCCATGCGGATGCTGCAGCGGAATCCCAGTCAGGCACATGTAACTTTTAGCTCGTGTTCTGCTGCAATGGCATAGCAGAAAATATACTGGTTCAAGAATTTAAAAGTCCGACAATATCAACGTAGCCAATGTCATCTTTTCTTTTGACATGCTTAGCCTTGGATCCAAATTATAATGTCTCATAATTATGCAGGAATAGACCAATAATATTAAGGGCTGGTTAAAAGAGATACGAGCAAATATATCAGTAATAACGAGTTGAAGTAAGTCTTAGAGGGGGAAAAAAACTGTAGTTGATAGAGAGCGAAGCGAATAATTCCGGTTTACGCGTCTTTCAAACGCTGGTCGTTTGGTCATTAACGGACTTAGACTGACTGGGTATATTGAAAAATTACTCTAAGTTTCCGTAGACGGCTTCAAAATAATGTTGTCTATGAGACGGACTGCTGGTCCTCCGCTATGTCCCAGATCTTCGCCTGGTTGCGGTGATTCGACCGGTAACATCTTTATTGCACCACTCAGTATACCACCCTGCTCTGGGTCGATTTCAGTCAACTCCTCCATGGAGGAAGGATCTGCAAGTGAGATGTAGTCCACTTCAAACATTACCCTCTTCTCGGGAGGTAATGCCGACTGTTCGTTTAAAACATTCGTAATTAAAGTATTGGCAGCATTCATGATCTGCTTTCTATCCAGAGCCCCGTTCAGGTACTGTGCCTCAGCAGCCTTAAGCGCGCGATTCAGCACGGGGGCGACTTTGCGTCGCCTCTCGCCGAGGTAAACATTTCTGGAGCTTAGAGCAAGTCCGTCGGACTCCCGGATGGTAGGACCAATAACAACCTCGGTCGGCAGCATAAAGTCCTTGACCATCTTTCGGATTATTACTGTCTGCTGGATATCCTTTTGGCCAAAGTATACCTTTTCAGGTTGTACGATGTTAAAAAGTTTCATGCAGACGGTGGCGACGCCCCTGAAAAAGGTTGGCCTGGTACGACCCTCAAGAATCTCACTTATTGGTGTTAGGACGACGAAACTCCCTTTAGAGTTTACTTCTTGACCTGGAAACCCTGAGGGATACATCTCAGGGGTAGTTGGCGCAAAAACAGCGCTGATGCGGCCTAGATTCCCGCCATCGTCGGCCAATTCACGATCTAAATCAGCTAGAATCTTACAATCCGACTCCCAAGTCACAGGATAAGAAGCTAGGTCCTCATTGATGCCGAATTGGGCCGGGTTCACATATATGCTAACGACGACGTGATGGCTCTCGCGAGCTGCGCTGCGGATAAGAGAAAGATGACCTTGGTGCAGAGCTCCCATCGTAGGTACGAGTGAGACGATCCTGTGGTCGAGGTACTGAGGCTTCCTCCATCTTCTGACCGCATCAACCGTACGCATAACTCGAATTGGAGAAGATGGGATGGTTTCGAAAGCTTGACGGCGCGCGGTAGCCATCGTTCGGATAGTCTGTCGGTTAAACGCACGCGAGCCTATAAGCCCGCGTACCGAGAGAGCCAGCATAGCTAATAAGGTATTCTAAGAAGAAAATCTAGTAGCGGCGGTTAAGGGGGGCGCGATGAGGTAATTATTGAGACATCATGAGCCATCGTAGTGACTCAATGGAAAAGTTAAGGAACCGAGGTGGAAAACGTGATGGTTTCTGCTGCGGACATCTGAGGCCGGGATTTGTTAAAGCTCTTAAGAAAATTAAAGCTAACGTAAATCATAAGTCAGCGGTCCACATAAGTCAGAGGTTTATAACCACAAAAAATACTACCTTTTAATTTTAACAATTAATTATTTAATTAATTTATAATATTTTAGTTAATAAAAAAGATTAAAATAATTTTAGTTTTTAGCGTTATTAAACGAAATAAAAATTTTAATATTTAAAACGTTGCGCGTTTTTATAATGTTTTGTTTAAAACGTTATACGGTAAACTTAACGGTTAAAATTAACGCGTTAATATAATAAAATTATGATAAAAATTAATTAAATTAAAAAAAAATATTGTTATTTAATATATTATTAAATTAAATTTTTAAATGTTTTTTTTTAAACTTTTTTACGTTAAAAAAATGGTTAATTTATTATTATAAAAATATAATGGAAAATGCGTTAAAAAAAATTAAATTTTAAATTTTATAAAATGTTAATTTAAATTTAAAACGTGTTTAAATTATTATATTAATTATTAAAAGGCTTTTTGTAAAAATTTTAATATATATTATATATGGTTTAAATTTATTAATAATATAATTAAAAAAAAAAATATTATATTTAAAAATATATATAATTTTAATAAAATTAAGTTTATAATAAAAATAATTATTATAAAAATGGTTGTAATTAATTTCGAAAAACGTTATAAATTTTATTAAATAATGTTTGGTAATAAAAAATGGTTTATGGTAATTTAATTAATTAATAATAAAAATTAAATAATATTATTTTTTATTATTATTATAAATAAAATATATTTAATTTTATAATATTATAATAATAAATTTTTATTTAATTAAATTATTAAATTATTAAAAAACGGTTGGTTTATAAATAAAATTATTTTAAAATAATTAATATATTTTAATTATTATATAAAAAAACGTATAAAAAATGTTAAATATTTTTTAATATTAAACGGTTATAAAAATTATATTTTAATAAAATTTTATAAATATTATTGCAATAATAATATTATATATTTTTATATATTTATTTATTTATTATATAAGTTTTAATTTTTAAATATAAACGTTTTTTTAATTTTAAAATATATATACGGGTTTGTTATTAAAGGTTTAATATGTTATAGTTTTATTTATATTACGAAAAAAAAATTTTTCTTAACGTTTTAACAAGTGTTTAAAACTTTTTTTACGGAAAAAAATATACGCGCCGGTTTTAAAGTTATTAAATTAATTTTATTAAACGTTAATAAAATTATTTTAAAGTTTAATATTATTAAAATATTTTATTTTTTATTTTTAAATTTTTATTTATTTAATTTATTTTAAATATTTAAAATATTAAAAAATATTAATAAAATTATTTTATAATTTTTTTTAATAAATAATAAAATTTTTATTTATTAAATTAATTTTTTAATTAAAATTTTAAAAATTATTAATAAATTAAATAAAATTATATATTAATTATTATATAAAATTATTTTATTAAAAAAAAAACCTTAAATTTTTAAAAAATAAATTACGTATTTTTTAAATATTAATAGGTAAAAAATAAATAATTATAAAAAAAAAAACTTTTTATTTAATAAAAAAAAAAAATTTTACGATTTTAAAAAAAAAGGTAATAACGTTAAAAGTAATATTATAATTTTTAAAAATGGTTTTTTAATAAAGTAATAATAAAGTTAATAACGTTATAAAATTTATAACAATATAAAATATAACGTATAAATTTATTAAATTAAATTAAAAACTTTTTATAATAAAAATTAATATAATTATAATTAATTTAAATATATTATAATTAAAAAATAAATGATTTAATTTAATAAGTTTTAAAACATAAACTTTTAATTTATATAAACTGTTAATTTATAATTTACATTATATGTAATTAAAATTAAAGTATGGATATGATAAGAAGATAAGACGGTTGATAAGATGTCTTATTAGCCCCACTTTCGCACCAATTAATTTAATCGAGCTTTAATATGACGTTAGCGGGGTTGGAAGGTGAAGGTAAAGGTTGACGGGAGCTTCCAGTTCCGCAGTCTTGCGGGGTGTTTCCATCCACTAAGGTTTTACCGTCATATCGGGCAACTGTCAGCGTGTCCCTTTTGTAGTAAGGAACAGCGCAGGACCCTGCAGATTGCGGCACTGTTCCGATCCGACTTCTAAAGTCGATTTTTTGAAAGTCGCCCATTCCGTATAAATCACTGGTTTAACTTACATCTTCCTTTTCCTATGAAAACTTCATGACCTGTCTGCTTGCATAGAGCTGCTACAGCTCGCGCCGCATAAATGATTGGTTCCACGGGTTCAATAGGCGCAAGCTTACTGCTAGCGACCTTATATTCAACTTTCGCATCGGGATCGGGACGTCAACCCTACGGCCAGGAACAGCTCCCTTTAGACAAATTCGAATACGAAGAAGCTTGTCCCGATTATACACAGTATTCGACATATCCGCATCGACCTCTTAGCGAAGGTCCTCTTGAGCTACCTTTCCAAAGGCCCGATCCTCGATGTCGCACCTTTCAGTCAGACGCTATTGAGCAAGTTATAAAGGATGTGACCTCTCGCATGAAAGACCCCGATCTAGCGCGTCTCTTCGAGAACGCCTTTCCTGTTAGTCCGACTTATAATATTCTTATTGTCGTACTTGTACGACTTTATAACGGATACAACTGACCGAGACAACGATCGCAGTCCACAACAGATACCACCGTCAAGTTCCACACGAAAGGTTCTAATAATAAAAAGAAAGCATGGAAAGACTCGTATGATGAAGGAAAGTGGGAGGGACCGCATTCTTTTGTCATCACAGGGGATATCATTGCCGAATGGCTTAGGGACTCAACAAACCAACTTTCCCCGTACCAGCCTTTAGCAAAGAAGGACCCGGCTATACACGACTTGATTCTAGGCGCAATCAACACCCAATCCGAGTATGTTATTGAATCACCATATTGTAATGCTTTTCAGCCACCCCCCATCAGCGGGTTACCCGTGTCGCATAATGGCCAGGACGATGTTGTCCATCCTGCATATGAGCCTTCGTTCGTCTTCGAATGCAAGTACGAGTTGGATTCGCTTGCGCATTTCCTCGCCCTAGCCAACGATTTCAATGACCATACGGGATCTACCGAGTATATGACATCGCGTTGGTACTTGGCATTGGAGACTTTATTAGATGTACTCGAGCAGCAGTCCAAGTCCACCTTTGACCCGGAGACGGGCCACTATCGGCGCAATGAGTACACCTTTAACCGCAACACGAACACGGGAACTGAGACACTCAACCTGAACGGTATAGGAAACCCTCTTAATAACGGCACTGGTCTTGTACGGTCTGCGTTCAGACCAAGCGACGACGCTACCATACTGGGTTTCTTCATTCCAGCAAATGCGATGATAGCCGTGGAACTGAAACGAACCGCCAATGTCCTCAGGAGTGTCGGAAAAAACGTTCTGGCCCAGACGGTCGAGACGTGGAGTCAAACGATCAACGATGGCGTTTGGGATCATGGAACCGTTCAGCATAAGGAGTTCGGTGAGATCTTCGCATACGAGGTAGACGGATACGGGTCGTCGATTCTAATGGATGATGCGAACTACCCGTCTCTTCTAGCTTTGCCCCTCATGGGTTTTCTGAAGACGAGCGACGAAACCTACCAAAATACGCGACGTATGTTACTCGCGAAAGGATCAAACCCTTATTACCTCACCGGAAAAGAATTCAAAGGCATCGGAGGTTAGCTACTTCCCTGACCATCTACGTCTAGCCCCATGCTGATTTATCTTAGGTCCTCATATCGGCCTCTCAAATGCCTGGCCTATGAGTCTTCTCATTCAGGCTCAAACTTCTGACGACGATAAAGAAATAACTGAATGTCTAGATCTGGTTCTCAAATCGGGAAAACTCGGTTTGATACACGAAAGCGTCGATGTCAATTTTTATAGCTCTTATACAAGTGAGTTTCCACATGCCATTTTCTTGGACTGCATTGCTGACGATGATTATTAGGAAGCTGGTTTGCTTGTAAGATTTAAATTGAACTTCCGGACTCCGAAGGTCGTATTATAAGGTTTGCTAACAAAACTATAGGGGCAAACGGCGTGTTTGCGGAAACGATTCTCGACCTAGCCAAGAGGAAACCACACTTAATTTTCAAAGCACCGGCAATGCCTTACGAAATATGATTTTATTGGTAGTTAAAAGTTGGGAGAGTGCCGTAGTCCTGTCGTATAGCTGCCACGTGGTAACGAGAAGTATTGTTTATAATGGCTTTGTAAGTGTCAGGGTATTATAGGTCAAAAGTAATTAACAAAGGTTTATTTATTATATAAAAGGCGTAAAGCGCTTTTGTAAAAAAATAAAAGGTTAAGCGTTATAAAATTAATATTATTATTACTTAATTTATTTATTTTAAACACTCATTTTATATATAATATTAATTAACGGGTATAAATTTTAATAATATAACGTTTATTATTTAATTATATAAACCGTTTGTTAAAAAAGTAAATTATATAAAACAATATAAAAAACGTTTTAATAACGCGTAAAAATAACTACGATTTAAAAAAAAATATTACGAAATGAAAAAAAAAACATTTTAATAACGCGTAAAAATAATTATAATTTAAAAAAAAATATCATAAAATAAAAAAGAAAAAAACTGTTATTATAACGTAAAAAGTTAATTACGACAAAAAAGTTATAATAAAAAAAAAAAAAAATAACGGTAATGTTATAAAAAAAAAAATTAACAATTTTTTAAAAAGTTTTAAAGTTAAATATTACCGATTTATAATAATAAAATTATTTATATTATAAACAAAAATTTTATTGTAAAACTTATAAAATAAAGTAATAATTATTACAAATAAAACTTTATAATAAAATAAAGTTTTATAATAAAAATTAAAATTAAAAACAAAGTTTTACGATTAACATAAAACTTTATTAATTATTTTAATTACGTTTAAAAAGTTAATTTTATTAATTATTTTAATTACGTTTAAAAAATTATAAAACTTTTTTAATAACTTTTAAAAAGTTATGTGGTTATTATAAAAAAAATTAAAACTTAAAAAAGTATATTATTAAAGTTTTTAATAAAATTTAAAAATAATTAAAAAACGCTTTAATACGGTAACAAGTAATTTTATAATAAATTAACGGTAAAATAATTATAAAAATGCGTATTTTACTATTAATTAAATATAATTAACCCGAAAAAATATATTATTAAAGTTTTTAACAAAGTTTAAAAATAATTAAAAAATATTACAATATAATTATAAAAGATTAAACATACAGTTGTTACACGGAAAAAACGGGGCTTAAAAAAATATATTGTTAAAATTTTCGATAAAGTTTAAAAATAGTTAAAAAACCTTCGAAACGGTTACCGGTAACTTTATAATAATAAAATTAATAACGAAATTAATAATAAATAAAAGTTATAATAAAATAATAATAATAATAAAGTTAATAATAAAGTTAATAATAAATAAAAGTTATAATAAAATAATAATAATAATAAAGTTAAAAAAAACGAAAAAAAATAAAATATATTTTTTATTATAAAGTAAAAACAAAGTTAATACGGAAAAGTTAACAATAAAACCATAAAACAATAACAAATTTTACAATAAAATTATAATAAAAAATTATAATAAAATAATAATAATAATAAAATTAATAATAAAGTTAATAACAAGTAAAAGCTATAATAAAATAACAGTAATAATAAAATTTACAATAATTTTTTATATTTTTTTTATACGTTTTTTTATACGTTTTTTTACACGTTTTTTTAATTAATTTTAAAAACGGGATTATAAAAAAAAAGTAACTTTATTAAAATATTATAAGTTAAAAATAATTAATAAAGGTTTATTTATTATATAAAAAGCGTAAAACGTTTTTATAAAAAAATAAAAAATTAAACGTTATAAAATTAATATTATTATTATTTGGTTTATTTATCTTAAACACTCATTCTGTGTATAATATTAATTAACGGGTATAAATCCTGACAGTAGGTATATATATGAGACATGCCACGCTAGAGCGTATTTTATCTAGATGCGGATGGTTATACTGGAAAGGCGCAATATCATTGGGTCAGTTTAATTAGTACCAGCTTGGAGGTGTATTGAATGCTTTGACTTGAGCTTAGTGACGAAGGAATACAATCTTGTGTGTAAACTTTATATGTGAGGCTATTTTATATTCCATATCTTTGATATAAAAGCATCCATACAGTCAGTCGTATGGAGCAGTATTCTGAAGGTGAGCATAAAAGTAGCATACTAACTATCCTGCAGTGTCTAAATCATGTGAACATGCCATCTCGACTCGACCGTTTACTAATAAGCGCATCTCCAAGTAAGCTGGCGGTACCTAAAAAAAATCAGGTGGCAGAAACCCAGGCAACGCGATAGATACATCCCCCTAAGTACCTACCCACGAAGTAAAGGTTATATATCTAAATTGCAAACAAACCACCAGCCGACGCCCCCCGCCCGGGCGACTCGAGGTTAGAGAAAACCCCACTGTGGTGTCTTATGCTGGACCGTTCTTAGGAATGTGACTTGACAGCAGATGCCTAACGAAGCCGGTTTTTCGTAGGTCCTTGGTTCGAATCCCCTGCCCCTATCCGAGGGGATTCGAACCTGGGGCTGAGCTTTTTTTGTAATTCTTTTTTAGGCTTTGGGGGGGATGCTTTTTGTTTTTTTAGTTGTTTTTTAGTTTTTTTTAATCTTATTTTGGAACAATGTAAAGTAAGATACGATCTGATATTTGCAGCTATAATAGTAGTAGGAATGAGACGTCTCGACTTTTAAGATGCTTAAATTATCAAAAACAACCTAGAATACTTTTTTTACTCGACTACAATAAATAGATAGATAGCACTTAGCTATTTCTATCTTCACGCCGCACGCCTCTCACGGCCACTTATAAGATAAATCCCCGCGCGAACCTCCAGCAGCGGATCGGCCGAAGCCTCGACGCCTTCAACCCTCGGGATCGGGTCGAAGATTATCCTCTTCTGCTGCGCGGCCTGATCGTCCGCTATAGACTGCAGTTCGATCGTGCCGAGCTCGACGACCCGTCGTTCTTCCGGCCACTTTGCGGTGTTATCGTCTGTCACGTCCCCGTCTTCTGCGATCTGTGCTTTGAGCTTGAACACGATCGGTCCAGATTTAAGGAGTTCTGGCACGCCGTCGTAGAGGAAAGATGGGGATTTGTCTTTTAGCGCGGCTTCGTCGAGATACGCTTCCCCAGCTGAGGGGACGATGCGGTACCGGATGAATGTCTCCTTGCCGTCTGCTGCGATGAACTTAAATGCGTTTACGCCGAAGTACTTTTCTTTGCCGAAACTGGCTGGTGTTGGCTTGGGGGCTTGGATGAAAGCTAGTGCTTTCAGGTGGGAGGCTAGGTATTCGCCGATCGAGCCGTCTTTAACTGCTGTGAAGAATTCGAGGGCGTCTTGGCCGTTTGAGCCTGGGAAGCCGTCGACGGAGTGGGTGATGATGTCTGTGTGTACGCGGCGAGGAGTCTCGGCCAGTACGAAGCGGATAGCAAAGCCGCGGGGGTTGCCGTTGGGATCGGTGTCTGGGAGTTCTGGGATTCCGGTAGAGCTGGAGAAGCGTGCGCTGATGGGAGTTGAAGGGTTGTTGAAGTGAGGTGCTTTTGAGAGTGTTTTTGCTTCTGGGGTGGGAGTAAAGGTGCCTTTTAGCAGGACGCCTTTTGCATGGGCTAGGGAGTCTTGTTAGTGCATCTTACAACATATAGACACTAGATGAATAGAGCATACCAGGTCGAAATCCGGGATGGGGTCCAAAGATTCCATGTAGTGTGCTGACTATGGCACTGCTGGTCTGGACAACATTTTCATCGGACGGGAGAGGCATAATTGTAAAGAGTACTCATTGTAAACAACTCGTAACAAGGACCTTCTTGAGCTTTACTTAGAATATTAGTCCCGCTTCTTAAGTCAAGCAGGAATTATTAAAGAAGATGTCCTCTTAGACATATTAACTCAAGGCTACGTGTCTCAAAGTTCTCATATATACCGCTCCCCTACGAAGGGTCTGATTAATCAACAACTTACCATTGGATGTTCACCATTATTCCCATCATGGCGACATCCCTCCATGTGTAGTATATTACATGCATATGTGTGGTTGCATCGAGATCTACCCCAGCTCTAAGTACAAGATGTAAGCATGTAACTTAGTAATTACTCTACACGATGATACTGAATGATAGATAGTCTAAACGGTCGTATAGTATCAACATTACTATATGAAATGTTATTAAATATAAGTTATCATACTTCTACTATTATCAAATATAGATGTGTTGAGTAAGTCTTATTTCACTATATCCATGTACTTCAAGAGAGAGACTCGTTGACGATAGCTTCCTTCATGAAGTGGAGATGTACCAGGGCGATTACTAAGGCCACTACATCACATCGAATCAGAACCTCCACAACTCAACTCCTATACGAACATATCAAAGACTAACGGTGTTTTTATTAAGCACTAACCACACAACAGCAATAAGCCAATTTTATATACATCATACCCCTGTAACAACCACACCCCCCTATTCTTCCTCGCCCGGTAGCGGCGGTGCATTCGGATCCATCATGCACTGGTCCACGCGCATCAGCTGCTTGCCGGTGGCCTTGGCGATCTGGATGAACTCCTTGAGGTAGCTAACGGTGCTATTGTACAAGTAATGCATGACGACGATGTCGCCGCCCGCCGCGACGTCCCGCTTGAACGCCTCGAGCTGCTTTTCCGGTGTGTTGGATTCGGCCCACAGCCAGTCCTCCACGTCCACGCTCCATTGCACGATATACGGGTCTTCAATGAGCGCCGCGAGACGCTGTCGCATACGCGCGCCTTCGGTGCCGAAGGGGGGACGGAAGTACTTGGGCGTCAGCCCGTTGAAGGTTTCTTTGACCGCTTCGATGTCGTTCGTGTATTCCCAGTCGATGGACGCGTCGTCTGCTAGGCCTTCTAGAGGCGGGTGCGTGTAGCTGTGCAGCGCGATCTGGTGTCCCTTGGAGGCCATCTCGTTGTAGATGGCGCTTAGATTCGTGGTTGGGTCTCTCAGGGGCGCGCCTACGGTGAAGAATGTCACGGCGATGCCTTCGTCGTCGATCGTCTTCATGACTTGCTGCGCGAACACTGGGTCGCCGTCGTCGATGGCGAATGCGAAGGAGTTGGGTCGCTTGCAGGCGAAGATGAACTGACCGGAGGGTAGTTTCTCTGGGACCTGGAAGTTCTCGGGAATCTGGTTCACGATCTCGATCTTGGAGAAGACGGTTGCGGTGGTGCTGTAGAAGCCTTTGAATGCGAAGCCGATAGCCCGCTTGCGGTCGACGTTGAAGTGGTTCAGCGGGATCCAGATATCGGTCTCGGTGCTGTACCGCGAGGCTTCAAGGGAATCCCAGGTCTCGGGGTAGGGGTAGATGTCATTGTTACACTTCTCGTTGTGCTGCTGGAGGGCAATGGTGAACAGGTTGCTTCCGGTATAAGCGACGTGGAGGTAAGACCCGTCGAACTCGGTCAAGTCCTTGCAGGTCTCGGACACTTGCGTAACCCACGTGAGATCCGAGTCGTTGGTCTGCAGCGTCATGGTGTTTCTCTTGAAAGTCACAGTCATCCCCTCGTCTGCTCCGTGCCATTGTTCCAAAGCATTTGTTTCCGAGTTGGCAAACTTGTCGATCACGAGGTTAGTAGCTTTGCTTGGAGGCGCTGGCACCGTTTCGGTAGGGTTGGATGGTTCGATAACCGCAGGGGGGACATATTCGACAACCTCGTTTCCGCAGTACAAAGCCAAGGGCCCAAAGGTAACAGGTTTGTTCAAGTTAGAAATGAAGATTGTTTCAAACTTGGTCAGATCAAGTCCCTTAAACTTGGAGAAGGGGATAGAGTATAGCTGCTCCTTTCCGTTGAAAGTCCAGCCGAGCTGTTTTGACGTCACGACGACATCGTCGGCGTTCTCGGTGCCACACTGGCCTTTTGTCGAAGAAAGCTGGACGTCGAGGGTTGTGCCAGCAGCAGCTGAGATGCGAAGCGAGATTCCTCCGTATTGTTCCGCATCGATGCAGCCGAGCTGGGTGTACCAGTACGAGTCAGTATCCACGGGTGTGAAAGTCGCCCTGTTGTTCTTGACCACGACGGACTTCATAGTACCGTCGTCGCTACTCGACTTCAGCAAGGCGTTGTAGTAGAGAAAGGTCAAGCGAGATTGGGATATAAAGTCGTCAACGAGAAGATGGTCGCACTGAGCAGCTTCTTCGCGAGCTACGATCTGCTGGACCTCTACCGCTGCCTCTGCTACCGGTGTAGGGACGGCGACAGCGGTGGCGGTGACTTGCTGTGGCACAGCTTGGCTATCGGACCAGCCTCCCCACGGGTCATCCCATGGGTTGTCGTCCCACCGTGGAGGCTCGGTCGGCCAGATAGGACGGGTAGTAGTAGTAGGCAACCCTGGGCGCTTCGTGGTAGTTGCTCGCCCCGTGGTCGTTGGTTTGCCGGGCGTGCTCCAGCTCCCCGTAGTGGTCTCCGTCGTTGTAGTAACGTCACCGCCGGGCAGAGTCACGAAGATAGTGGTCGTGACGGTGGCTGGCGGCTCGGGCTCAGTAGGGTCTGTAGTAGGCACTGGTGTGACTACAGGTGGTTCGGGGTCCTCGGGCGGCGGAACGCTAGCGCACAGGAACTGTACGTTGTCTAGCTGCCACACGTTGTCGGTGCCCGTCAAACCAGCCGAGAAGCCGTACCATACGACACCAACGACTCCATCCAGGCCAGCTCCCTCCCAGCTGTTCAGCGGAATGTTAATTGTCTGTAGAGAACCGCCAAGGCCGTCGAGGGTGTAGTAGGAGCTCTGGTACTCAGTGCTGGAGCATTCGGCGACGGTTTGTAGCTCAATTGAGACAGAGGCCGCTTCGGGACCCTTGATATTAAATGATATGGAGTCATATCCGAGCGCCACGGTGTCTAAACAGTCAAACTGCTCGTAGATATACGATACATCAATGTTGTTGGGTGTGAATGTTAGGATGCCGCCATCAGTGCTGGTGGCGTTCATGGTCTGGTCATCTGTTCAGGGGTTCAGCACTTAGCCCTGTGAAAATCGTTAGAGAACAATCTTACCGCTCGTAGCTCCCTGCAGGGAGTTCTCGCCAGTCTCCCATTGAGAGAAATCGTCTACCAGCAAATGCGCCGCGCACGTCTCGACCGGGGCCGGAGGTGCCGAAGAAGTTGAAGGCGCCGGGGCCGAGCTAGGCGGTGCCGGGGCCTCGGTGGAAGACGGTGGGGGTGGTGCGGGAGCTTCGGAAGAAGTCGGCGCAGGGACCGGCGTTAAGGTCTCTGGGGGAGTAGGAGCCTCCGTAGAAGCAGGTGGTGGTGGTGGGACCGGTGTTTCGGTTGACGCGGGAGGAGCGGGAGGAGCAGGTGTCTCGGAGGAGATGGGAGGAGCATCCTGTCTCTTGGGCAGTCTAGCACCCGATACGCCGCTCACGAGCAAGGCGGCGGTGATGTCGCCAATAACCTTAGTGAACCTCATGATGAGTCCCTGGATGGCTCAAGGCTGGACGATCGTCCAAGATTCAGGTCGTCTAGCAGCATGACCCAGACTTATATTGACAGGTCTGATCAGGGGTCATCCTCGCTTAACAGGAGAATTTTTCTCTTTCCAGTAGACAAGATCCAAGGTTACATGTGGATTGGATCGTAAGGGTGCATTGGAATGGCTAAATGAGCTCTGTTCTCAAGCAATATTGGCTGAACCCAAGATTGCGAATCTGCATGTCCCAGACAGGGTTCTCCACAGTCTCGATCTGATGGGTTATACAGCAGCCAGGAACACGAGCAAATTAATATAAGAGTCCGCAGTTATAACTGGTGGAATACCCGGATCGGCATGTTGGAGGCTTTGAAGAGATTTCCCCTTCTTCTTTTTCTGTCAAAATGCCAGATCTGGGCTCGCTACATAGCTCCAGGGGGTACCATCTATCATTGTTGCTACACTACAGATGCACATTAATGTTGTAGCTAGAAGCTTTCTTCCTGAGGTAAACTTACACATAACATCAGACCTCAACTCCGACCCCTATAAAGTCATTCGACTTGTCATGATACCAACTGTAATCCTGCGAGATATACGAGGTGGCTTGCATTCAATAATGAGCCTAGCTGAGTACGGATGCATACAATAAGCCGGTCGGCAAAATGCCAAGAGGAGAATAAATAGAATGGCGTCCATAGCGCCGGCATAGGACATTAGAAAGCATCTTGTAGCTAGCCAGCCAACCGCTAGGGCTAGCACGCTGCCGCCGGTCAGCATTCGAGTTCGCGCTAGAGACGCTTCCAGCCGGGAGCATCGACGGTGGACCAAGCGGACGAGGCCTCGTCAGCTCAATATACACGTATGAGGGAAGATGGCTCGACTATCGCGAATCGGTCGGCACATATGCAGCAGGGGGGTTAGAACATATACGGCATTTCTGTGTGGGTGTGTATATGTGTGTGCGGTGCCTGGGCGGGTCGGTTCGCTTACGAGCAGAGCTTGTCATGTTAAAAGGTGTAAGACGGCAGACGGGCAGAAATGTAGGGTAACACTGCAGACAGTAAACGCGAGCCCTACTGCGGCCAGTATTGCCAATTTATCCTATTGCATGTTCAGCCGCCTTGGCAAAAGTCGCAAACACGTTGTTTGAGGTTTATATTACACATTGGAATTCCCTTTTTATCAGACCATCTCTAATCCAGTTGTGTTCTCGATGGCAATATTCTTTTCTGTCCCTTTGTTGTTAGGTACTTGATATGTGTGGCCAAATTCATGACCGGCAGCTTACAGCATGAGATTGGGTCTAGATCTCTTACGATCTCGTCCGAGCTTTACCTAGATCTCGATTGTTATCTGAGTCATGTTATTTCCCCTTTTTAACAAGCCTCCTTTTTAAAAAGCTTCCTTTGCTAACAAGAGCTCTATTTTGTTTAAAGTGTCATGTAAGTAATCATCGCGCTACCAAATATCAATGATTACCGTTTTCGGCCAACTAGTACAGTATCAGCCAATCAGCTTCCTCATGTACTGGCTAGGGAGTCAACTTGGAAATAGTTACCTGTTAGGTCTCTCAAGTTGGATATGGCTCCTACATTAAAGTAATGCATGTTGAATTGATTATATATTTTTACCTCTGTTAATCATTATTGAACTAACAAGTTCCGAGGTTTAGGTTCGCCTTCCACTTATTACATCGCTGTAGCTGAAAATTAATTCGATCAAACCTCTCACATAACTACCTTTCTTCAACAGCCCAATAGTTTAATCTAACCTGTAGACCCGTGGTAAGGCAGTAAGCGAAATATGCAAATGTCTTTGCTTAGTGAATAGACAGGTACGCAGCAATATCAAACGTCCAACTGCCGGATCTACTGCAACTAGGAACGTAGTAAGGCTAGGGACAGAAAGACTAGGGAAGCTACCGGTAAATTACGGGTGAATGAATCTCAGCCGGTAGCAGGTAAAGGTGCTATTGTCAAAAGTGCGTGGAAGCTGGATGGGCGCGTAAGGCGCATTCGCTGAGTTGCCTTCTGCTGGACAGATGCAACGTCCCATCTCACGTAACACCGAATGGAAGCAATCGCGCTTTGCTATTCTGTTGGGTGAATTGATGTATTTATGGAGGATACGTTGATTTTAATCTTCGTAAAGAATGGTCTCGACTTCAGTGTTGCCAATTAAATGATGATTTATATATGCCGTGCGTGTCTAAGAGACGTGTATAATAGCAACAGTGGCTTAAATGTGTAAGCACGATTAGAATATAAACATCAAGGTGTACCTATACGAATAGCATGGCAAGGTAAACTTAGAACTATCGTAGTGCGCATTTGTGGGTTAGTCTAATTGTGTCCGGCTCGCAATTGTATAACTTGTCGAATTCAAATGCACCGAAAAAATGTTTCAATGGGATATCTCTAATGACTCCTTACGTCACCTTATCCATGTTGAAATATCTCCAAGACTTATGGAAGTGTGGCTTTACTTGTCGCTTCTATAATAGCCATTGGAAGTCACTCGGTCGGTCGAGTTGGTTACTAATTTTAATCGAAACTAGGCTAAATTTGCTAAAATTTTAAAGACGTATAAAGCACAAAGACTTCTTTTTAATATCTTCCAACTTTTAACAATTATGATTGTACAAGTTTTAAAGGATTGGAAGGTTGGACTTCGATGTTCTGTGACCCGCATTTTAAGTTTGCATCAGCCTCAATTACTGCTTGACTTGACTGGGGCTGCTGGGGTAAATTGTGGCTCTGCTATCGGATAACGGATACCCAGGCCGGGACGTTAATTCTGGCTGACTTTCTGGCTGACTTTCTGGCTGACTCCGTTGTACCCAATTTTGTTTAATTGAATGTTGAATGGGAAACTTGACATCGCCAATGTCGAACCCAGATGCGCAATTCGGAACACAGGATTTGCTTGTCTAACCCCTATGAAATTATAACAAACCGTATCACGTCGCAGCGCTGCAGACATCTCACCGCTCTACAATATCCACAACCGCCGTCCTTCTTACATCCGTCCTAGATCGTCATATACAGATGCGACACTCAGCGGTCGAGTCGTTTCGAGGGCCAGAGTACCGTAGGCATACCTGTCCGGCTTGATGCCGCCTTCCGACTATGATTCACAGGATGGGAGTGGATCACTCCCTGCATCCCCCGTAGCCGCCTCCATCTCGAGGGTTCAGAAAGCCCGCCATACTCTTAACGATGTCTCGCCATCTCTCTTCCGCTCCGAATTCAGCCTCCCTTACCGACGGTCTCATCCCTCCGCTGCCTCTCTCTACGCATCTACTCTATCGCCACCCGCTTCTCGCTCCCAGTCGCCTGTCGGTCGCCCACCGTCGCGAATAGCCGCCGGTTCTATATTTGGCGCAGCTCCGAATAACGGCCTCGCACTCGCTTCTGGCGCAGGGGACAGCCCGGGCGATCCGCTCAACCTCATTCTTGGGGCATTCGTACCGCATGTCGCGGTATATACCTCCGAAGATACCGATGTCTTGTTAAAAGAGAAGGGGTTTAACCGCGGTCTGTGGGAACTGCTTAGACCCTTCGGAGAGCGCGTCCAAGGAAAAGTTATAATACGGGATAGCAACGGGTCGAGTAGGACATACGAAGACTACTCAATACACTTTGTCCGGTTTGGAGAGGGTATTGTGCATCCGGAACCCGTGACAACCGGTTTAAGACCTGCGTCAGCCCCGAGAACAAATGGAGCCTCGGAGAAGTCCAGCGGCCCCGGGAGGGGACAAGGGATCACGATCCCGGATGTCGAGGCCGTCGTGGATCGCCACCTAAGTTATGCCGAAGAATCATTCTTTAGCTTACCTCAGAGCCCTACCAATAACGGTCTAGATATCGACGTAGCCTCACCGTATTACGCTTTATATTTACGTAGATTGCTCTCGGGCCTGCCCCTGGTACCGCACGAAACATTCGCGCATCCGGTTGCTTGTGTCATCGCAATAAGCTCCCGGAATCCGACTCCAATCGAAACTCTCAGACGGTTATACACCGAGTCTAGCACGGGTGACAGACGTTTACCCAACTGGGTTGATGCTGAGTTTTTACGTTACTACGTCCTTGTCCACGAGGAAGAGAGGGATGATATAACGAGATCTATGTCACTTTTTGATCAGATGAAGCGCAGTCTCGGCCTCCACTGCCATTTGCTTCGGATAAGGGGAACGCAAAGTGCTGCTACCGACGATGACAGCATACCACTTCCCCGGAGCGAGTGGATGTCGGCTGCAGAAGAATTAGCCGACCTTCGAAGGAGCGAAGACCAGGAGGACTTTGAAGATCCAACGAGGTACATATTTGAGTCAGATGCAACTGCAATCCGCACCTTTATCCGCGAAATGGTTACGCAATCTATAATACCTACGATGGAGCGTCACGTGTCTGTATGGAATGACCAAGTAGCCTCGCGCCGAAGGGGACTTGCAGGCCGGTTTGTTGGCTTGACCAAACGATGGGGTTTTGGAAACAATCCTAGGTCATCAGTCTTGGGTCAGAGCTCGGGGAGTAATTATGATTCACTCGGATTCTATCGCCAAGACGCCGCTGAAGCCATAATGCGGAAGTTGGCCGACTATGCCTTTATGCTACGAGACTGGAAGCTAGCCCATTCCACATACGAGCTTCTCCGTACTGACTTCAATAATGATAAAGCATGGAAATATCACGCGGCGGCAAGCGAAATGTCTGCTATTAGTCTCCTCATCATGCCTCAAAACCTATCGGCCAGATCAAGAGCGGAAACAATAGACACGGCATTTGAAGCAGCCTGTTATTCGTATATCACACGTTGCAGCGCACCATACGGCGCGCTACGATGTCTCGCTCTTGGCCTGGAGCTCTTACGCCTACGCGGTGGTTCTAATATTGATAGTGCCGCGAAATGGGGGATTCGCCTATTAGAGAGTAAGATATTAGGCCCCGTAGGAGACGCGCTGATCAAGGAACGACTGGCGGTTTGTTATGCATCTAAGCAGGGCATGGGGACACATCTCTGGGGTGGCAGGCGGAGGAAGTCGGCGCTGTGGAGTGCGCTTGGCGCTGAGGCATGGCTGGTGCAGTCGAAATACATCCAGGCGCAACGATGTCTCAACGAGGCGCGCAAGACATACTCGGACCTCCCGAGCGGAAACGGCATTGATAAGTTCAATTATGCCAGCGCGTTCCTGCTCGGCATTGGAAAGCAGCTTAACGACAATCTCGAATCAGATGACCAGGGTGACGATGCAGATAGTGGTGACGAGAGCGATGTCGTGGACGAGGAAAGCGAGGCCCTAAATATGAGGGGGAGGCGCATTAGTACGCTAGGACTTCCCGGGGGCGCGGCCGGGGCGGGCTTGGAGACGGCGCCGCTGAAAGCGCAGCTTGACGCGTCCGAAGAACAGGATACAGGCGAGGCTAAGGACGATTTTGGTTAGGTACCTAGGTGGTTAGACGGGGGGACGGCGCGGTATATGTTAGGGGAAGGGGGTTCTTGAAGGTTATTGATATAGCTATTTATTTGTATGAGGGTAATTAGGGGAATGATTACTTTTGTTGTAATGAAATAAGGGGTCTTGTTTAAAGGTCCCTTTTTGAGTTTGATGAATGCTTTTTCGTTTTGACTTGTTTCGTGAGGGCGTGTTGTGAATATAAGATAGGAGGGATATTGTGCTGTAGACTTGGGCATTTGTAGATTTGATGGATTTATCACATGGAGCAAGAAGGTAAGGAAACAACTTCGTTATCCCGCACTCGAAACAGGTAGATACCTATGGAAGCCTATGTCTATGCATATTAAAAGTACTTTTCTTCCTAGATATCTTATCTGGTTCTTGGATAGTTGGTTTACTGACTTAATATCTACAGATTTACTAACTATGGTATATGTCAGCATGTTCTAGGCTACGAATTTACCTGCCTACAATGAATTGTATGAGTATAGTTAGCACTAAATCAACGGCTTAGATCAAGTTCGAATTTATACAAAGAAAGCCAATATCCCTATCCTACGGTATTCCTCATCTTTATAGATACGGGGCAGGTACCTATATGGGCAGTTTCTCGCCAGCTGATACCAATACCCAAGGCTTCCTCTATATTCTCTTCCTAGAGCCTCTTTATGCTCACTTCGACTTCAATAACGTCGGTACCCAGGAAAGAGGCTCGTGCAATGTTGGCCGAAACTTGAAACCGATGCGAGTCGGACCCGTCTATTACCTTTAAATCGTCGTTGCGCTTATTTATTAGAAAATAATGCATAATGTAATTTCGGATAGACTCCTGGCCCTTTAGGGCCGTTATAATGTCCACGACTGTACATCTGGTAATTTCGCCGAATGCATATTTTTTGTGGTTGTCCTTAACGTAGAGGAATATGTCAAGCGGAGATAGTACATTGCATACGAGTTTATCCCAATTGCTCCAGATTAGGAAAAAGGCCGACGATTTATTTTGGAAAGCTACCACGTAGAAGACTGCGCCTGGTAAAGTCCGGTGTCGAGCATCAATCCATTGCGGTTCTGAGTCTATGATACTGTATTGGAAGCCGTCCATGTTGTATTGATTGACTTGCGAGATCCTTGACAGCCTGAGGTGCGTGTTGCTGAGGGAGTTATTTCCCAAAAGGTACGGAGGCACAATATTGATCTTCTCTACCGAGGGCTTTTTAACGCCGATAGTACCTGAAAGTGGTCAGTGGTCAGCGGACTGGGAACGCATAGAGACGTATTATTCCCTACCTTTCTTGAAGAGTCTATGTTTCCCATCACTACCTTTCCCGGGGGTAATAGCTATCATGCTACCAGATAGTTCGAGACTGTAGATGGTGTGCGTGAAAAGTCGGTAGAACATATTTTTACCTATATGTAATTTCACCAAGGGGAGAGCAGGTCTAGAACTTAAATCGTATCCCATGACGCAGTCTAGGACTGCGAGCCATAGGTCTCTATGTCTCTGCTCAAATCCGGGAGGGGCAGGGTATAAAATTACCGTTAAAGACAATCCAGTTGGTGCCATTTCCATTTTGGGGCTTGGTACTCGATAAGGTGGCCATATTGGCCTAACATAGAAATCGCTTAGGTGGAATTGCGACGGGGCGGTTGCCAAGATGTTGTTGTCTGCCGTGTCAGTAGTATCATAAGGGGCGCACCAAGCTAATATGGACTGGTCATCCGACCGCTTGAGGATTTCCTCCTGTAGTCGGCGAAAGGCCTCCCTTATGCCCTCCCCGTATATTAGGGCCATATGAACATCGAAGATCCCGAGTAGGCAGTATGCCATATCTTCCGCTCGAGTCGTTTGTCTTGAGGAAGCCCATCTCATTTTCTGTGCTACACAGTAATTTCCGAATATACTACTAACGGAATCAATTTCAACGTCACAACTTTTGCATCGACGCGAATAATCATCTTTCACGTGTTCCTTCCAGGGCTTATTGTTAACGGTATGATTTAATGTCAGGATATCCATATCAATGCCAGTTCGTTCTAATACATAGGTAAGCAAGTAGTTAGGAAAATACCAAATTTAGACCAAGGATGAATGCTAACCTGCGATTTGAGGAGAAAGTGTATAACGGTCACCTAGTAGCTCCCAGTACTTGTTGTAGAAACGAACATCATGTGGAGCAATTAGCTCTTGCAACGTCCATCCACGGGTAAGCCAGCGGCTTATGGGAAAGTCGGCCAGGTCTCGAATATCTTCTAGAAATGCGTAACAAACACTCGCAGACTCATACCACGCAAACATAGAGTTTATAGATTCGGAAAGCTCGGCACTGCTGCTCTTATCTATACAGCACGTATCGATCCAAATGTATTTATATCCATCTAGCTTAGCCCGGTAACAGCTGTCCTCGACCTTTTTGAATCCTCGTTTCTGTTTCCATATCGAATCCTAGATGTCAAGCCGAGTCAGTGAATAGAGAATTAGGAATGTACGTTGTCAGCGAGATATAGGGGTTATATGTAGACCTTAAACCTACCTGGTGATTTTCTACATCTTGGAAGAGAACTTCTCCGTCACCCCAAGTATGGGAGAGAATTGCATATGGAGGTTTGAATTCGCCTATGAACTCTTCTAAGTGAAATGATGTAGTGTTTAAGAGCCGCATTATGAGTATTAGGATGAATCCTAGAGTTGAAGTGAAAGAAGGGTTAGATGCCTGGAAAGGAGGTTATGTACCTCCTAAGGTAGCGAAACTTGAACGAGGCTATACTTAACTTCCCCATCAACAACTCAGCAGCGTAGTAGCGACCCGAATTGAAGATCAGTTAGGTACGAGGCGCAGCCTTGTTAGAGGTAGACTTAATTGGCCCCGATAGAATATGCATGGTGGATGGGGTTGAATTGAGGCTATAGTAACTTAATTAATTTAATTGGTCGGTCTAGCTTTTTCCCTTCTAGACATTTCCTGGACCCCTTGTATTAGTTCAAGGGGTCGTGATGTAGTCGTGTGCTAGTCAAGAGGATAATAGATGACAACAGATGTTTAAAGAAACCAGGCACCAATAGCGCAACTGATGTCTTAAACCTAAACGTTATATGATTGAGCAATTGTAAATTATCGAGTAATGATTCGCTCCTTGGTGAGGGAAGACAATGCACCGTGAACTAATAGGCACTACAACCAACCAAGTGGCCTTGAAAATGATGCGATATTTTGTATATTCAACACGCACAATTCTATCTAATAACTACTGGGAACATCAACCATAATCTGGTTACGATAGTAACCGCCGAATTCCAAACGCTGCAAGCTTGCCAAAAAGATTCAAACCCGCCCACTCATATCGAGGTCGACAAGTTACTCGAGGTTGAAGCTAGTGGCGCCGACGTAGTTCTGGACAACAGCGTTGGGCTCGTTGGTGGTCTTGAGCTCGGCGTTGGGGATGAGGTGGGAGCCGGACTGGTTGCTGGAGGGGGTGACGGGCTGGGTGACGGTGATAGTCAGGCCGTCGGCGCCCTTGGTCACGCTGAAGGTCCTGGACGACTCCTGGCAAGTACCCTTCTTGATCTCGGGGAGCTCACCACCGGGACCGGCGGGGCCCGAAGCAGAGCACTTGACCCCAGTGGTCTCCATGGTGCCGGGCTGGATGACGGTGAAGGAGTACCTGGAAGTTTATTAGTACACTGGTATGTATAGTATATAGGGATCGAGAATAGTACTTACACGCACTGGGTGCTGTGGCGGACGCAGCCAGCCGAGAACTCGGAGACCGAGAAGACGGTGTCACGCTTGTCGACGGTGACGGCGGCAGCGGTAGCAGCGAAGAGGGTAGCGGCGGAGAACTTCATTTTGAATGTTGGGGGTTTTTTTTTCGGGTGAACGAAAGTTAAGTGAGTTGATTAGGTTGATGAGTTATTAGAGAATGCTTGAATGTGATTGCGTGATGATGAGGCTGAAAAAGAAGAAACATACTCGGACGCACGAAGGGTCTTTATACTGATTCTATCTGGGGTGAGTCTCGTCGCGAGTGGAGTAAAAAACAGGTTGATCCGCGGTGCCAGTGACGATGGGCATGAACTCCAGCTCGTATTGAGCGGGGGTCGTGACAACGTTGCCCCCTTTTCCATATAGCTCCTTAGTTTCTAGTACCAGTTTCAACTACTTTTGTATACACCCTAGTAGATGATGGTGGTTCTTTGGATTCCATGATGCCGGATATTTACATTTGTTGTCAACGTTACGTAAATTTACAAGGTTAGAATACGAAGGGTTTCGTCGTAGGGCTAGTACATAACGAGGAGATCGCCGGGGGTGTCTTTGAATAGCCTATGTAGCTTGTTAGTCGATAGGTAGGTATGTATTGGAAACCGCTAAAACCGCTATCAGAACTACTTGTCATGGTTACATTGGTTCTAGAAGACTAGGTACCTAATCTCTTCCCGCGATAAACAAGAAGGCTGAATTGGTCGAAGTAACATTTCCCGCATGTAACTTAACCACGTCATTTCTCTTTCTCTGCCGATACCCCGGAGTTGGCATCCGCAACGGCTGGGGCGAACTACCGGCAGCTGAATACGAGGTGTTACGACCTAACTTAGCTTTAACCCGGAGCCAATCACCGTCAACTAAGTCTATATACGTGGTACTATACCCAAGGAACTGGAGTTTCACAATCAGCCCTCTTAGGATCTTCACTCAGCTACCTCAACAATATCTTGTTACATAGTACACAAGTACATATGTAGATAGTATGTCTACCAAGAGTCATTAGGATAGGTAGAATTAGTGCTATGAAAATGTTTTATTGAGTAGTTACATAGTTGCATAGTAAACTAACTATTTAGTTTATATTTCTACGGACGTCTTCCTATTAACGTTGCACTATATTATAGAAAGTACCTAAGGTACCCAACGCGAGATTCAGACGAATGAAACTTGACAGCTCATGCGATGTCAAATAGGCTATCTGATCGAATCTATTATCAAATCTAAAGATTTTCCACAGGGATGTTTCCCAACACGTTAATGAGCGGCAGTAAGGCTCGTGCCCTGCACCAAACTACACGTGTATGTAGATGCATAATCAAGGGGGATATCATCTGTCTCCTCGAGTGCGAACTAGATATCTCCTGATATAAGTGGAGGTTTAGTGGGTGAATACCAACTGGAAGCAATAAAGATGCATGAGTTGCCACTGATCTTCACTTCACCGCCTGCAGAATTCAACAACGTTGTATGTCCAGGTAAGAATCTAATTCCAACCTCATCGTTCATTACATAATAACTACTGCTACAAGATCAAATAGACAACACAACAGGCGTCAACCACCACAGTGCCACCTATCGTGAAGGAGAAACAATAGCCTATTGATACCCGATTCTGGTCTTAGGTAGTAGATCCAATGTTGCCCCATCGAATGTTGGAAAAGGCAACGTGCGTGTCAAGATGCTGAGAGCACAAGATTTAGAAAGCTCGCGATCCCGTCTAGGTACTCTCCCATAAATAAACTAGACACCACTTGATTGATGGTGGTTGCGGCGGCGACGGGCAAACACTGATCCGAACACTGTCCTCTCCCTTTGTCCCTTTGTCACCATTGGCTTATTCAAACCTTCTTCTTCATCTCCCACACGGCCTTTAAACACGTTAGCATCGTAAAATATATTTGGAGCACATTTGCTTCCTTAACGTTGAGATATAACTAAACCTTTTAATACGTGGAACTTACCATAGTGATTTTCGACATTCCTGTCAAATTGCTCCTTTATATCGTTGTGTTGCTTCTTGGGATGCTTCTTGATATACACGCTAATGGATTTGGCGATTGCAACTACATAACGATTTAAGTAAAGGGCGTAGATCGCAAGGGCGGTAAACGCCAAAGAAACGCCAACTGAACCAAGGTTAGTGAGTAGACTAGAAGTTGATAAAACGTCATGTTTACTCAGAAGTACTTACAGATGATCCCAAAAGCCCAGGCAGGAGCTTTTTGGAACGACTCAACGTCAAGTGCGAATAAAGAGCTAAGGAATGATAGCGGTAGCTAATGGGGGTTAGAAAATTAAAGACTTGGCTTTTCTAAACGTAGAAGATTAAGACTTACAAATATAATAGTAATTAGTGTAAACGCCATCATGCTATTACCCTGTTTCACGGATTGTTCTGCTTGAAAGTTTCCCATCTCGCTTTGTAATAAGGAGAGTGTGGAATTAACCTGGAGTCATTTCACGTAAGCGACTATCATAAATGCTGGGCGAGCAAACAACTTACAGCAGACTGAATCCTACTTGCAAGTCTCTCCATTTCGGCGATATCGTCGATGATGTATTTTGCATCAAGGCCTGAATCCGTCGGGTCCCCGAGAAAAAGTTTCCGCTGGACGTTCTTTTGATAGTTTACGATTGATTTGATAATACCCAGTTCATCGCGGATATCTTTGATCTCGCCAAACAGGTTTTCGGCTTCGATGGTAGCTTTTCTAAATTTTTCTTCACGCTTGGAAGTATTTGATCCATTTTCGAGCTTTTGAACACTGGAGAAGAGTTCGGTCTCTTTGCGTCCCTACCAAAATATCAACATGGATGCAACAAAGGTGGAAAAAACCTGACATACGATATAATTGATATGATCCGAAAAGAGTTGGCGAATTGACCGACCGATTTGCCAATCATCAGTCGAATCTTGGTGACTGGGGTCTCGGTAAAACCGCCTCCTCTCGTAGGACTCAATGCAATAGTTTACCATCGCTTTCATCATATCTTTAGTAGATCCTGGTTGAGAATGGGCCCCTTTAGCCTCTATTTGTTTGTTGAGGTGTTCGGTGAAACCCTCAAGCCATAGCTGTTCTACATCATCGACTGGATGTGAGGTAGCACTAATCACCCATTCTATGCATATCGTCTTAGTAAAGAAATATACCTTAGGAGGTAGGTATATATGATAACACCGACGCGTACTTACTGTTATCTATCGTCCAAATCCAAATTTGATTAACCCGGAGCAGCGGCCAGGGTTCTGCTCGAGGCTCTCCAGGCAGTCGGGACTTTTCCTTAGTCGGAACCAATTGCCTAGTAACAACTTGACTGCGGTTACGCTCTTTTCTGTCCTTTTGAGCTTCCGTATCATTCAAATCGAAATGATAGTATACCTCATCAAGAGTCGCAGAGCTATGAATGACCGAACCTTTATAGGCTTTTATCAACCTTTCGGATTTTTGACCTGGTCCATCTCGCCCTTTGTCGGCTTCCTGATTCGAATCTTGGTGACAATTGTGAAGGTCTTCGGTCTGTGTTGCGAACGATAGAAATGGCATCTATAATTCCATAGGTCAGAACCTAATTTACAGCAAAAGTAATAAAGAAACAAGGTGGTATGCTGACATAAAGAGCTGAACTAGGGATAAAAGCATCTCTTTCCTGTTCTTTTCCCTTCGCTGTCTCTTGATTGTTGGCTTTTTGGCTGTTAACCTCATGGTTATTACTTTCTTGAGGGACACTATCCTGCGCCGTATCGTGTTGCGCGTCGTTAGTAGCTGTTGTCTCTTTTGGTTCTTCACTACGTTTCGGTGGTGAACGCCCATCTCGCCCCTTGTTAGTGAATGCAATTGATATCCTCTCTGAGAAGTGTGGCCTCATGAACCGTGACCTATAATTCCGATCTGGTATTTCAAACCAAGTACTTTTCAAGAACGAGTTGACCTCACGAATGCTATTCTCCATTTTTTCATCGACCATGATTCTCAACAATAAGTCCTAAAAAAGCTGTCAGCAAAATTTTCGGTCTTCAGATCTAGAAACCCAAGAAATCCAGATCTATGAATTATTTCTGTTACCTTCATCCAGTCGACCTATCTTTAGTTAGTAATGGCCAGTTAGGATATTCGGGGACGCATACATTTGTAGCTGGTAAGTGGATGTAAGTAAAACTCAAGTTGTTCTTGTCATATGTAGCTTGAAGCTTTCTTGACTTGGAGTTATCTTTGTTCTGGAATCTTTTTTCCACAGTAGTATTGATATTGGAGATTGCTTCTGTCATTATTCTCGTGGGTCCCCTGCCATACACGATATCCCTTAGGTCTCGCGTCCTTGAAATATTACTGGAGCCGTCCTTGGCCTTGTAGAATCTAGCTATTACTGCTCTGAATTCTCCCACAGAATTGAAATGCTCCGATTTTAATCGCGGAGGTTCCAAAATAGCACTGTCCTCATACACCTGCGCGATTTGGGGGTATTCCAAGATATCTATCATTTGCCTCCAAATGCTGGGCTGATTTCCATCTGCAGGGACTACAGCATTGTAGTTATCTTCATGGGGTTTGCTCTTGTTTACGAGTTTGCCTCCTTGTCTCCTATTGGTGGTACTTTCTGGTTGTTGACGACTCTCTTCGTTGGCTTTGAGCAGCGCTGACTTGATATTTTTGGTAATTTTGCGGGTGCGTGGGGAAGTCGCAATGAGCCACCAGAGTACGTCCGGGTTTTTTTGTTGAGTTGCCAACTCAATAGCACTAGACTCATTCGTTTTCAGGTCTGGGTTTTCGAGAAGAAGTTTCTTCGCGATTTCATGCCTCTCAAATTTTGCTGCGGCCCAGAAAAGAGCCTCGTTGTAAGTTCCCGGGCCATTCTTGAGAGCGTCGAGGATAGACTTTTGCATTTTCAGTATTCCCTTCTTGGTCGTTGACCCTTCATATAAAAGGAACCTCTGGTAGACGTTGGGATTACGCTTGTTTTCATCTGGCCAGTGTTCCAACAATACATCCAGGGCCTCCAAATTCTCATACTCAATTGCCACTAAGAGTGGTGTCATACCTGCGTCGTCCTGGATATTCGCTTGGTCGTACCCACGCTTCTCCAGTAAAATGCGCATGCCACTTAGTTCTTGCCCTTTCGTCGCCGCCATCAATGGAGTCCATCCATCTATATCTTGTATTACGACTCCTGCGCCTTGATCGAGCAGAACTCTAATAGTTTCTTCATGGCCCTCCCAGGCAGCGCGGTGTAATGCTGTCATCTTCCATTTCCCAGGAGCATCAACATCAACCCGCCATTTTGTGTTTCTTTCAAGAAATATCTCCACTGTATCTGAGTAATTATAGCTAGCAGCCATGTGAAACGGCGTATCTCCATTGTCATTAGTCGCTAGGGCGTTGGCTCCTGATTTTAAAAGTAGCCTCACAGCTTCTGTCCGCCCATTCGAAGAAGCCCAATGTAAAGGAGACCACCCAGCATAGTCTACTGCTTGAATGTCGGCTTTATACTTTAGAAGCAATTCAACAAGTGATGGGTTGCCATTCTCGCAAGCTGCATGCAATGGCTGGCATGTCATAGAATCCTGCTCTGAGACAGACG